TTCCCGTGCTTCATGCTTCCTGTCCTGTCATGTGTTGGTTTTGTTTGTCTGGTCTTGCTGTGATGACCACCGCGCATTTGCGCACTCATCAGAGCGAAAGGGAGGGGAAAGAAACCCCCAGAGGGTTTAGAGTTTACCGACGGAGAAGACCTAGATCCATTCAGTGTCGCTCAGGGACCGTTTGTCAGATATGTGCAGAGAGGGAGGTGGACAGATAGACAACTAGAGAGGCAGATAGAGAAACAAGCGACTATCACCCCCAGCATTCAAGTTGTTGGCTCCATGGGCCTCGTGATCATCGTCCCCTTGAGCTACGAATTGACTCAATCACACAAACTCCTTGAACTCAAAGATCATTAATCAGTCGAGGCATAAAGATGCTGGGACTCCAGGGCCGCAAACACCTTCGGCCTCTAACGTGATGTCATGGATCCTATTTTGTTTATGCCCTTTAGCTCGCCATCGATTCTCAAGACGAGGAACCAACCCCCCTCCTCCCCTTCCCCCCCCTCGGTTCCGATCTAGCTCGCTAGAACTTGGGCAAATCAATGAGTGAAAAGCAAAGGGAAATAGGTCTGTTAACGGGTTCCAACGCCCCCTTGGCATCGAGGGCGGAATTGCAGCCTCTGATTCGTATGCCAGAAGCGCCGAGGGGGTCCCTTGCCGGAATAGGAAGATAACAATCTCCTCCCTGGTACATACACTCACCCCTAGCGGTAATATTTCCCTCGGCCAGAGCCGGCTTTTCGTATACCCTTTCTCGCAGGTCGCTGGAGCTGCCCGGTTTTCCCACCCCCCTCCCTCGACTTCTGGTTTCTTTCCAGAATTCTAGACGAGACGGAAAGTTTTGGGCTGGGTTTCCAGGATAATGCCACTGCCCGCGGAGCCGCACCGATCCTTGGCCCGCGAGCGCTTTCCGGATATCGTATTTCCCTCCCGGGTGCTACACAGTTGATAATCACAGACAAGGGAGGGAAACATGATGTCCTAGTCTTGCGGTATTGACTGCGGAGCCAGACCATCATTGGGAGCCATGTCCACCCCCGGGAATAGCAATGTGTTGGGAATGCATTTTGCGCCAGCAAAAACGTAATAGCATTTAGAAATCTCGTACAGAGCATCGTACAGTTTCATCCAGATGATGGTACACCCTGAGATCCCTCATGTCTCTCTGCCCGCAGACCCCCTATCTACACAGCCCAATCGTGCTCCTGGCATGAAAAGAATGGAAAGCATTGCTCAACTTCCAGTCGCAATGCACCCCAAACAAGGGAGAGAAAGAGAAAAGAAAATCCAAAGCGCATTTCAGCTGTTCCGTGAGACCAAGATTTGTGCGTGGTGTACAACAGCCGAGAACCTGTCTCCGCTCTGCCGCATTCCGACGTTCTCCCCAAAATGTTCCGATCCCTAAGCGCTCCTGTAGGCCGTGCTGCAAGTCCGTCCCGTAGTCCCTGTCCATCTGAAAGTAAAAAGATGAGAAAAAAGAAAGAGAAGAAAATAGATATCAAGACCAAGACCATTTGCTTGCATAGTATAAGCGCTTGGACGGGGTGGCGAGAAAGGAAAAACTGAACTTCTCTTTCCTTTTTTTGCCTCTCGGTCAATGCCGACAGCCCACTTCTCCCAAGCTTAATTTCCAGTGGTGCTTGGAGCCTTGTCCCAGTGCTTGAGCATTTGCCGAAGGGCTCGAGTCCATTCCGCTACACAGGCACTGACCAGGCGATCGAACTCTTCTTTGGTAGGCCTGCGACCTCCCCAGGTGCTTGCCTTGGAGGCTAGAGCACGGGCGTGTTTCGCGATGAGGTTTCTGAGTAGTACAAGTCAGCCGGTACGAAAACGATCCCGAACGGACGAGGGCTTACTCCTTTTCCATCTTCACTAGAACTAACCAGCAGTAATTCCAGCTCCGGGTACTGCTCGGGTCGCGCACCACCATCGCCTTTGCTTCATCGAGACACTCGGAACTGAAAGGATATGTCCTGGTCAAGCCGCGAAGCTCATTCAGCAGGTTGTTCGAGTTCACGTAATGAGCCCATGCCGTGGTCATGGGCTCGGTCACTTCGGCAGAATCCAGAAACGCAAAGATCTTTTCGATTCGGCGTAGCTCGGTGATGGTGTTGACTCGATGGGTCCGAAGAGACTGGATCAGTTGATCCTTGTTATTCTGCATTGTCTTGTCAGCCTTCAGATTCCGGCCAGCCAGGAGTGCGCGAAAAGAACCAGATATTCAAGCAAAATATACTGGAAAGAGAGTAGAGGAGAAAGGAAAAGAGCGAGAGAAAGAGAAAGAGAGAGATAAGGGCAAAAAGGAAAGATTTCAGGAACGCCCACAACGCCAACTCGCACACATAGGAAATATTACAAAAATAAAGCCTGGACTGACTTGGCTCATTGAGCGAGGATCAGCTGGTGTGCCAGGAGAAACAAGCTGATACTGCTGGGGTCGGTTGGTCGACACCGTTGTCGGTCCTGGCCCTGCGGAGCGAGACATGGCGCCTTCGAAAGGAGAAGAGGGGGATTGATATGGTGTTTGTCGGGATGGTGACTGCTCTGAGAATGGATCACCCGTCGGCGGTTGCTGTCCTGGAGACAGGAGCGAGGGACTCTGGGAACTTCGTCCGGCAGGATGAGATGGCAAAGCAATGCGTCCTGATGTAGAAGATTCTCCTCGCTGACGTGGTTGAGGTCTCCTGGACGTATTTGTACTTGTGCTCCGGTCGCTCCTCGAGGCTTCTCCGGAGTAATCGTCCATAGACAGCAAGCTGCAATGCAGCACACGGTGTTCTGGACCCGGTAGAAGAGTTTTGGCGGCCCTTGAGTAATCGTGATGATATAACCCAAGGCGGGTGGAACACGACACGACTCGCTCAAGCAGGGAAAGGGGGGGTATGTATGGTATGTATGTATGGGGTGTATGCGAGTGAGTGAGTGAGTGTGCGTATAAGTGCGTGCGTGCGCGGGTGTGTGTGTGGACGCAAACTTAGTCAGAACGCAGCATTGGACGATGATGAGGAGAGACTGTAGAAGGAAGCGGCGCGCAGTGTAGCAGTTGAATTCAAACGAATGGAACAGACCAAGACAGGGACAGAGGCTGACACATGAGTGCCCGCAGAGGTATTATGACTTTCTGGCAGAAGCGTGATGTGCCGAGCAAAGCAGTTAGCAAGTCCGGTAATCTTCTCCATTGAACAACACCAGGTCAACGACTATAGCAATGATTACCACCTTGGGAGTCTGGCACTGTGCGGCTGGAGTTAGTTGTCTCTCTGCTCCCCGCCACACACCGACGCACGGTAGGGTCATCATCCGACCGAGAAGCTGCTACTACAGCTTCCCAGCCCAGATCCAACGTGATGGGATGGGACAAGACCATCGTTCCGTACCCTCAGCCTCAGGCGTTCAGTGTCCGGGGGGGAGAGAGGTGGAGTGGGTAGGGAGACTCTTTGGCGTCATCTGGACCAGGGTGAGAGTCATTGGCTTTGGGACCACGTGCCGGGCGCCGAGATCTGACGAAGGGCCGTTTCAGGGAGCGAGCGAGCGAGGGGAGGAATTGAAGAAGGGAAGGCCAGGTGGGAAGACGAGAACGGACATTGGCGAAGGAAGGATTGGTACGAGCACAACGGAAAGACGTAGGGGTGGGGGGCGGATGGAACTAGTCGAGAGGACAGGGTCGTTGACTTTGGTGAAGATGAAGACCTGAGAGAGAGGAGACAAGGAGAGACAGAAAGAGTTGAGCTCCAAACAGCTAGAGAGGAGCAGGAAGGAAGAAAGGGAAGAAAGCGGACGTCACTAAGCGCGGGAGGGTGGAAGAGCGACACTACTAGGTAGGTACGAAGGCCCGAAGGCCCGTGGTAAGGATGGCAAGATGGACAGGCGGGATTGAGAACGAAGGTACTAAAGGTAGATTGTCTTGCTCTGTCTTGCTCGGTCTCGCTTCAAGTTGTGGCTCTTTCAAAAGACGACCGGCGATCTTGGGTCCAAAATGGAAAAGAAAAAGTGGTCGCCCGAGAGTCAAAGAGTCAAAGAGTCAGAGAGAAACTGGTTGGTTCGTCAATCGTCCACTCGAATCCGCATAATGGCCGACTGCTGTTTCTGATGTCAATGACTACTACTACTACTACCACTACTACTACCCAGGTAAGATACTAGACATCGTACAAGATGATAGCCACCAGTGGGCGACCAGCACCAAACAGAAGCTTACTAAGGCCCGCCCGCAGCAATGCTACGTACCGACAAGTCGACTCCCGAGTCTGTACTCGGCACATAATACATACACACACACACACACCGATCTGGCCGAACCTAGCCTCGTTGGGGCTTTGGGGTCCCATAATAATCATTAATATGCCTCAGCCTCTTCATCGGTGCGGCTGTGCTGCTGAGTCTACTCCCTAGAACTACCTAACTCCTATACTCAGTGGATCCTCAACCCAAAACCCTCGCTGTCCGTCGCCGCATTGGGCATTGGGCATTGGGCATTGGGCATTTGCATCTACTCGTACCGGTATCCGTGGATCCCACTCTTCTGCCCTACGACTAGGTATTCCGCCCTGTTGCAGCCCTATATCTGGCCCCCTTCTCCTAGTAGTCCTGGTCTATCGGCGTCACCAATCCAGTTCTAGCCACTGGCCAAGAGCTGACCATCAGATTAGCCACCCCCATTCCACCCCCTTTCAGGACCTCGTATACACAAGTCGATCAGATTAGCGATCTTGACATCGCCAATGAGAGACTAATTGGTCAATCGAACTTGGCCCGGTCCGCAAGAGATCTGACTTCCCATCAACCCAGCGACTGCCGTTACATCGTGAGCCGAGCTGGTGCGCCCTGCGCAGACCTCTGCGGGAAGTGGGATCGCGAGGCTTTGGGAGGGGGCCGTCGCAGGGCTGGGCACGTTCCATGAGGCAGGGGAGCTCGTTCCGCGCCATGCTAGTGGCACCCCCCGGTAGTTGTCTGGTGTGCATCCTAGCACCAAAGCCGCGTGAACGGTGGCTGCTTCACCTGGGGCCTCCGGGTCGCTGGCGATAGTCCTGGTTACCATACGGGTTGGAAGAACCTCCACCGCTACTGTAGTTGTACGCATAAGGATCCTCTCCACCCGTCGACCAAGGCTCTGAGGCTGAAATGTAGGGCTGAGAAGACCCGCTCCGAGATGGCGGTTGATGAGTCAAATTTCCGCCCGAAGGACCATAAGACGCCTGACTGCCGCCTCCCCCACTGCTCATACCACCGGATGGACTGTTTCGTCCGCTCCCTCCGCCCTGTAACCGAGCGCGCAGCCGATCACGAGATCCCAGCGCGGCAGCGTTGGTGGCGGGATTGGTCTGGTAGCTTCCAGCCCTTTGGCTTGGGAGAGGGCGGGCGCTGGGGCTGGGTTGTGTCACAGACGTCGTTCCGCCACTGTTGCTTGACTGCGACCGCGCAGAATCATTCGAACGCAAAGAGTGCGGCGTTGGTCGACCAGCCCGCAGACTCTGAGCAGGAGGGGCCGCCGGGGCAGGAGCAGGATCCCACAGATCCGACAGTCCGCCGCCGCGGCCCCCAGATGGACCTCTCGAGTGTGTTTGCTGGACCCCGTACTGAGACCCGTATGTATTGCCATATTGCCCGTAGGAACCCTGCGGCTGAGGAGGAGGTGCAGCAACGGGCTTTTTGGGATCAGGTGGCAGCCACTCGGGAAAGGGCCGTCCCTTTTCTGTGTAGTATGCTCGCAAGACATTCGAAATGTGTGAACAATCTTCGTGGTCCGGATCGTCTTCTTCAGAGTCTCGAGTCGTCAGAGCCTTACGCAGGGTCGCAAATCGTGAGGAAAATGTGCTCGACCATGTCGATGTTGCGCCGGGAGTGCCTGCGCCCTGGGACGTGGGCTGTGGGGTCGACGAATTCGAGGTGAAGTAGGAGAGATAGGACGCCATGATTTCAGGAGATGGAGGCTTCGGGATGGCTGTCAAGCCCTACAGTGGCTAGTGGTGAGCAGGACCTGCAAGTGTTGGACAAATGTTGGAGGAGCAGTTGAGATTCGGTGCCGCGTGCCTCGTCCAGCGTCCACCGTAACGAGCACCAAGATCTGCCTTGTCCTCTCTCCTCCCCCCACTTTCAGGAGCTCGGCCGAGAGCCTTGCGTCGTTCTGCCGAAGCACACAGCTCAGCCTCGTCGGACTCCCACCAGCTCTCACGAGAATTGAAGAGAGTTAGTTCTACATCATTTCTGGTGCTCGGACCTCTGGGCCAAGGTCTCCTTGATGTTCACATGCATAGCTTCAAATGAATTCCGGTCTCTCTCTCATTGCGCTATATAGCTTGGACTTTACGATAATTGGGCGGTTTCCACGTCCGTCTAATGACCTTCCCACCCCAAACTGGCACAAGACTGATCGCTCCCACGGCTGCCACTCTCCAAGCCCAACTCCAGCTAGCCATATATGCCAAGTCGTAATAGTCCCCAAGGAAGGGCACGCTCGCCGCATAGAACGCTGCAGTGCCAACAATACAAACAATCATGATGGGGTGCCAAGTCGTCACCGATACAGCCACCATGATAAGCTCATTCAGGATTAGGACGGTGAAGCTGACGCTGAGCATGCGAGGCCCGTCGACTTCCCCAACTAGGAGCTGCGACAGGCCTTGGATAATGATACCCTGATATACCGACACCAAGACCCAGGTAAAGAAAGTTCGATAGCTCAAGCTCTTCCCTGACTTGAGTTCCTTGTATAGTTCGGGGTAGAGGTTGGCTACTTGCTCATCCACGTCTCGGTCGAGTACCAGGGAGAAAACGGGGGCCATGGTGTAAACCGTGGCGTAGCCGACCATCAGCCAATCCTTGAAAAGCCCCTTGGGGTCAAAGTGTCCAGCGATGTTATACATCGTCTGACACACGCTGATGATCAACCCACGGTGGATGATGAATTGAGCCAACTTCGCGGACCGCTTGTAGCTGTTGCGGCCATGCCAGACCAGCAATTTCGTCAAGTAGCAGAACTGCTCAATGCTGAAATCGGCTGCCAGCGAGGCCTGTCGTCCTTCTTTGCCCACAATCCCAATCCCCACATCCGCGGCTTGGATCATGCTAACGTCGTTGCCGCCATCCCCAATGCAGCAAACACGCTTCTTGGTGTGTTTGCGAATCAACCGCGCCACGTCAGCCTTCTGCGTCGGCGAGCAGCGACAGGCAATCACTGCTGGTAACTGGACGGCTATTGTGATGAATTCATGACGGAAGTGGCTGAGCATGAGTGCCAGTGACTCGCCGTCGATGAGCAGACATGATTCACTCTGATTGCGCATCACATCCAGCGCGTCCTTGCCCTGTGCTTTGGCTTTAAGCTTGGCCATAGTATGGATATGCTGGCCTCGTGCGACCAAGCGAGCTGAAATCGCTACGCAACGTGCCGTCTCGATCTTGTCACCAGTCAGCATCCAGATCTTGACGCCAGCGTTGCGGAGCAGTTCAAGAGAGGGCTTGACATCCTTTTGCAAGCGGTCTTCGACCCCAGTAACGCCCAAAAGCTCCAGGTCATGCTCGAGATACTTCTTCACGACAGCAGCCATTCCTGCATCTCTCTCGCGCAATGCCAATGACGCATCCGCATACTCGGAGGAGAAATTTCTGTACTGCTCTAGCGACAGCTTTTTGCGGCCAACAACGAGTGTGCGAAGCCCTTCACGGGCCATGTTGGCCGTTTCTTCGTCCAGCCAATCATTCGCTGCCACAATGGAGCTCATTACCGTGTCTGCACCCTTTTGGAAAAACCATTGTTCTTCTATGTGAGACAGTCCGGGCACTTCTGAGGAAAGGTGTACGATGATGCCCATGCGCTTGCTGTCAGAAGTGAAAGGGAAGATTTCTTTGATCTCTGCCCGGATGACCACCTGCTTCGTAGAGACGCTTTGGAGGACAATGCTCTCTCGGTCACGCTGAAGGAGACGTAGACCAACACTCTCGGTAAATTCGACAATAGCAATCTCATCCGGCGATGATGCTTGGTAGGATACTACTCTTTCTCCATCAACTTCGTCCGCAGTAGGTGTGACATTGTGGCATAGTGCAAGGGCGAGCACTAAATCGCGGACGCGGACACCTATTTCGCGTCGAGTCTTTGTCGTGGCGCCCAGCTCTGAGACGTGTACGTCTTGAGTCTCACCAGTTGCGAATGCTTGATCAACGTAGGCCGCGACTTCTTCCATTGCCTCTCCTGCATATGCAACCGTACCAACATGGATCTTCCGAAGTTGCATCTCATTCTGGGTCAGTGTTCCAGTTTTGTCAGACAGCAGGTACTCAATTCGACCTAGGTCTTCAGGAATAGTGCTGGTGCGTACAACTGTGCCTGGAATTCCTTTGTCTTGGTGAATGAAATAAGCATACACCGTTTTGGCCATGTCAAGATTGACACGGAGGCTGATTGGAATGATCGTCGAAAATAGAATCAGGTAGATCGTGATGGCCACGTACCATGGCTTCTTGTTGGATGGCTCGAACCCTTCGAGTGCGACAAGAATGATGGAAAGGGTCAGGGTCATGATGCAGAGAATTTTGGTTAAGTTGTTGATTTCCATTTCCAACAGACCTGTTTTGGACCTTGATGGTGATGTGGACAGCGCAGATCGAGTTTGCTTGCCGGTGTAGATGACCACGCCATAAGTTACGGTGCTAGAGGCCAACACAGTATTGGCCCAAGCCGTGTTGTCAATTGTCAAGGGTGCCGAGTTCTGTCTGTTACCCACGGTGCGGTCAGGGTCATTTGAGCTTGGGCCGTCTTCTGCAGGGCCGTCTTTGAGCACATGGGGATCATAGGCTGGTGCTAGACTTGGTTGAAGCTCCAGAGTCCCTATGAACTGATTGACTTTCTTGTCGGGAGCACCAGCAGTAACCTTGAGACGTTGTAGATCTTTTAAGCTGAGGTTCTGACTCAACGGGCTCGGGAGCCGGAGCTTCCAGTCAGTCTCCCCATCCAGCTGATCCGTCCTGATGAAGGTCTCCCCAGCAGCCTGAGCCGAAGGAGCTGTTGTGGAATCAGAGGTCGCATCTAGCGTCAGTTCCGTCAGATGACTCTGAAGGATGACAAGATCCGCAGGCACCCTGTGGTTCTTCTCAAGTTTTAGAACATCGCCAACTTTAATATCTCGCGACCGTTTGTGGACTTCAACTGCACCGTCCCGAGCGGTATCGGAGAAGGTCAACACAGTGAATAGTTCGGCGTTTGCTTCTGCATCCCGGCGCCGCCGCACGATGTCGTCTACCGCTTCTTTGCCAATCGAGATTGATAGAACCACCGCCAGAGGCACAATATATGTAGACATGTAACCAATCCGCAAGAAGGGTATGATCTGAGACAAGGCGACCAGGAGGAAATAGACGTTTAGGAAGAAGGAAAATTCGTTGTACAATGTCCTTGGCAAGAAGGACCATGCGGTGTATTTGGCGTTGGATACGACATTGGTAGGAAACCGCTTCTTCTGAGCATGCCCGACGCTGACCTCGCGCGATTCCTGGCTGCTGAATTCCTGCTCATTCTCACGCATGTCTGCCAATTCTTGTCTGACGAAGTCTGAGATTTGCATACTCTGACGGACACTGGAGCGGCGTGAGGCGGTGTCCCGACCATGAGAGATGCTCTCTTGTCGATTCACCCTCTGGTATCTTTCCGGCCTGACATTCCAACCGACTTGGTCTTCCGACCACAGTCTTACATGGCCGTTGCCTTGTGTGTGTCCGGGCCAGCTGCCTAAAAGCCCTTCCGTATCTTCTGTGCCATCATCTCCTCTGCCCCGTTTGCCTGTTGACGGCCATAAGCGACTGCTGCCAAACCGCTGCAGTCGCTGCAGCGGAATATTTGTGGAGCCGTTTACTGGACGGCGGGCACCGGGCTCAGAGGAATCGTCCGCTCTCGAACGACGGGAGGAGTTAACAATGGGATCTAGTTCGTCGAGATCGAGATCGTCATCGGAAGCAGAGTCTGCGTCTCCGGTAGTGTGTGTGGTGTTGGGAGGAGACATGCTCTTCCCCTGTCATCCTCAGGAGTATCGTCAAGTGACAAGAAGGACTCGGAAGGTTGGCTAATGGATATTCGACTTGGGTGCACACTCGTGCGTGTATCGGGTGGAAGAGCACTCGGTCGACACAGATGCGTCCTGGACTTACGGGAATAATGTAGAACAACAGGTCAAGTAGAGCAAGACGTCGTGGAAGAAGAGAAGAAACACGGATGCCTGGTCGAGGCAAGACATGACATTTTGCCTAAGCAAGCACTGCAGGCGCAGTACGGAGTAAGTGATCAAGAAGCGCGCCGAGCCGCGCTCTGGCTGAGGAACCCCTAGGACTCAGCCTGGGGCCGCCGCTTTTAAGCCCACTCGCCCGCTAGCCTCTCCCTGGCGTGCCTGGCACCTGCCTGGGTGGTCCCAGACTCCCAGGTCGAGGTCCTTTGGCAGTGCCAGCCTGCGCCCCAGTTGGTGCCAGGTCCTCGTCCGTATCCGCACCTCATATCCGCTCGCCGCATCTCCATTTCGTGTCTAGAGAAACAATCTGGCCCTCTCTTCACAGTCATTCACATCACTAAAGACTCGTCAAATCCTCCGGGAATCCTTTCACGGTGCTGAATCACATACTCCACCCGTGAAGTCCTATTCTCTGCGACATGCATCAAAGGCGTTGCTAATTATTTGTACATGTGTGCATCCGGATAATTTGGACCAACCCCCTACTCTTTGCTGACTGGAACCAGTATCGTCGTTTCTCCCGGAGTCGTAATGGACACAGCGACGCACGCCGAAGCAGGCTCTAGAGAGCCGACAGAATCCATGCAATCCGGTCACTGGCTTCCAGCCCTGCGCCCTGACACCATCGATGAGGTTCATGAGGAATCGAAAGACGAAGAGCCATCGAGCAGGAACGGCGATTCGAATCCGTTTGGCCGGACGATGATGACGGTGGTTCCTCCAACTCCTATTTCACAACAGAATGGGCATTTCGGTCTTTCGACGGAAGATGCATTCACACAGCCGAGCATTGAAGATAAGCCTGCAACGGGTGTAACGGGCGCAGCCCTGTCTAACGGGCAGGGGACGCATACAACGTGGACCTCTCAACCTTCAGGCGGAAGTCTTGAGAGCGATGAACTTCCGTCTGATGATGACAATGAGAGACTCGATCCCGCTTGGGGAATCAAACGACTCGACACTGCACATATTCTTGACAAAGTGCATCGCTCCACGACATTTCCCGAGTTCAATCCGCCCGAGACCGCAAAGGACCAACCCTTTATCGACACGGCGAAGAATGGAACGGTGGTGGAGATGGTTAACGGCACTACAGAAGCTAGCGAGGCAACACGACAAGAAAGCGGTGCCACGGAGCCTCAGAGTCTGTCCTGGATGAACGATGATCATGATGGGACACGCGACCCTCAGTCGTGGACGATTCCGGCGCAGAGCGAAATGGTTGATGAGGAAGCTGTGCGCTTTGAAGAGGGCGTGCCGCTTATCCAGGCGGATGAGACGAGCCCTGCTGATCCAGGGGCCCCGGATGAAGGATCACAACAAAATTCCTTTGAGGCGGCGCAAGATGACGAAGAATCGACCTTCTTTTCGAACATCAGCGGGTCTTCAGCCACTGTTCCGCAAAACCCTTCCCTTGACAGGAAGTCCACCGCTCAGGTGCTGAGGTCGCTGGATCTACCTAATGATGATAGACAAGAGTCTCCGCCGACGTCGGCATCCGCCGAAACCTCTTTCTTCGACGAGCTTGCCGCCGGGACAGCGTCTAAAGCGGACAATAAAATGCCCGTCATCCCGGAAGATGTTGACGCTATGTGGGCAGAAGCACTTGGAGACGAGGAGTTTTTAGTGGAAGATGCCGACGACCTGCTTCCTGATTCCGAGCCTGGATCGCCGTCCTCTTTTATTGCATCCTTACAGGACTCATCCACCGTACCTAATATCCCGCCCACAGAACCGGCACCAAACACTGTCCTCCAACGACAAGTCCAACCTCGAAGGGAGAGCTCGGTCAACTCATATGCGCCTCATCAACCGTCTACCTCTGATATGCTTCAGCTATCACCTACAACACGTACCACACATAACAATGTGGGACTGTCGCGTCCTGAATTGGCTCCGATGGGTTCTTTCCAAGCCCAGTTACAACAGGAAGCACAATCTCAGAACGTAAAGAGCTTTGTTGATCAGGCAAAAGACGGTTATAAATCTCCGTATGATCTGCCCCTGGAACTCAGCAAATCAAGGAAGAGAGCCCATGTTCCCCAGCCCGTCCAGACAACAAGGTCTGTTGCGCCGCCACCGAGGAGTAGCAGCCTGTCCGAAAAGCCCTTACAATCACCTTTCCTTCCGAACGTGCCACCGATGTCAGGATCTGGCGTTATGCCACCTCCAGCACCGTCGCCCGCCATGCCGCCGCGAAGCGTCTCCGCCTTTGCGTCCAGCAGGCCCGAGGCACCGACATCTGGTTCTTCTTCAAGCTTCTTCGAAGAATTGCCGTTGGCATCAAAGCCACGACATACTGGTCGCCACACTCCTCAACATACCATGGTTGCTCCTCCGCCGCCGTTGCCGGCACAAAGTCCCCCTGTTGCTCCTCCGCCTCCTCAACAGCACACTTCCCTTCCTGGACCCCCTGATCCATATTCTCAGTATCAGCTGCGACCTCCCGAACGCTTGGATCCTTATGCAAATGTCCCGCTGCAGCCCCCTCCTGTACCAGCAGCTACAACTGCCAGGTATTCGCCGGCACCTGTCACATCAACCCTAGGCCCTAGGCCGGGGCCATCTCCTCGATATTCTCCAGCGCCTCCCCCACAAACTGCAACTGCACCTGCGGCAAGGTATGCAGCACAACCGACGCCACCACCTGCTCCATCTCAAAGCGCAGCAGCAATGCCAAATAAACCGCCATCACAACATCCGCATGCCGGGCCCGCTATCCTGCCTTTTCAGCCTCGGACCTCAAGTCCACTTGCGTATCACAAGAGTTCAGTGGATGAAAATGTCAACGGCGTACCTCTTTCAGTCATGCAGACTTCGCCCCCGCCTGCACCTGCAACCCAGCTCTCACCTCCTGGTACCACTGCATCTTATCCGATAACTTCCCCTGACCGAGATGGCTTGGTAGACTCTAGTCAGGCTTCAGCTACCAGACAACCCACCGGCGAACAATTACTTCCTCCACGCCGATCACAAACTCAATCTCCCTCCAAGCAACGCCCTCAAGGAGCGTTTCCTGTTCACTCGAGCGACATCATCAACCGTCCAGCCTCTGCATATGGACAACCGCCACCCAGAAGGACCATTGCCCCAATGGAGCAGCATGTTCCATCCGCAAGGCCTAGTGTCCGAGCTCGAGGACTAGCTCCGGAGACTGAGTTCGTACGGCCTCAAGATGACACGCAATTCGACCCTTTGGAGCGTTGGAAGGGTGCTCCTTTGTTCAGATTTGGGTTTGGCGGCACCGTTGTGAGCACCTTCCCGAAACTTGTGCCCAGGTATGCGACGGGCGCGGTACGACCTCAAATCAAGCCTACAGCTGGAGCAGTGTCGATTCAAACCGTGAAAGATGTGCTTCCGCTGGCGGAACTTTGGAATCAGTTTCCTGGCCCGTTGCGATCCAAGTCCAAGAAGAAGGATGTTTTGTCTTGGATGACAAATTATATATCTGGCATGGAGACGGACACCCCGAACATTGTTCATGCTCCATCTCATGACGGTCCGAGTTCACGGCATCATGAAAAGGTCTTGCTCTGGAAAGTCGTTCGTGCCCTGGTGGAACACGATGGATCCCTTGATGGACCAGCACTGAAAGCAATCAATCTCCTGCTTTCCCCTGAGGTCCATAATGTGGATCTGTCAAGTCCAATTCAGTATCGCGAGGGTGAACCGGCTTCCGGTATCTACAGACCTCCTGGTGCAAATGTGCGCCCCGACTCAGTGGACCCAATGGCAGTTGAGACTTTACGAAAGCGCTTGCTCGGTGGTGACCGGGAGGCAGCTGTGTTTCATGCTATGGATAACCGCCTGTGGTCTCACGCACTCATCATATCTTCGACAATGGACCGTTCAGTCTGGAGCCAAGTGGTGAGAGAGTTCGTGCGCCAAGAGGTGAAGACTACCGGCGAGAACACTGAGTCGCTCTCTGCTCTATACGAAATCTTTGGAGGTAACCTTGAAGAAAGTATAGACGAGCTAGTTCCGCCGTCTGCTCGTGCCGGGCTCCAAATGGTGAGCAAAGTCGATGCGGGTGGACCAGCAAAGAATGCTCTGGATGGACTGAATCGATGGAAGGAAACTTTGAGCCTCGTGCTGAACAATCGGTGTCAAGGCGATCATCAAGCGTTGGCAGTCCTTGGAAAACTCCTTGAGGATTACAATCGCATCGAAGCGGCACATATTTGCTATCTCTTCTCCAGGAATCCTCACAGACCGGTTCTGTTCGGTGGGCTCGATGAAGATCATGCGGCTATCGTCTTGCTCGGCGCAAACCACAAAACCCAGCCCTTCGACTTTGGCCGCGACCAGGATGCTATTCTGCTCACTGAAATTTACGAGTTTGCGACGAGCATTCTAGCCACCGGCGCATCCTTATCATTCATGCCACACCTTTCTGTTTTCAAGTTGCAACGAGCGGCAGCCATGGCGGAATCCGGATTGAGATCTGAGGCGCAATCTTATTGCGATGCAATCGCGTCCACATTCAAGTCGAGCACAAAGATGTCAGCATATTATCACCCGCTATTCCTGTCCGAGCTCGATGATTTATCGAACCGCCTCAAACAAACGCCAGTACAAGGGTCGTCGTCCTGGATTGGAAAGCCTAGCCTAGAGAAAGTCGGAGGCTCTATGTGGAATAAGTTCAGCAGTTTCGTTGCAGGCGATGATAGTGACGCAGAATCCAAAGGCTCAGGAAAAGACGCAGTCGATGCAGGTCCATTTGCGAACGTTGCCGGCACGCCGTCGATCAGCAGACCCGCATCCCAGTCGGACATGTATGGATCTTACCCACAATCTGTCCCTGCAACAGTTGCTGGATCCAGATATGCACCTAACGGCATGCAATCAACGCGATCATCTTCAGAGCTCACGCGTGGACGACCGTCTCTAGATTCTCAAAGATCACCTCCATCGACGTCCCACTCCCAGAGCAATCACCAATACGAGCCAATGAACATGTTTCAGCATGTCCAAGCACCGCCTGCTGCGAACCCTTATCAAGCTTTTGCCACAGCATCGCCCCCAAATGCTTTCCCGCAAAGCCCTCCGAGGTCTTCTTACGCGCCGAATAATAGTGCTCAGTCAGTGTCGGCAAACCCGCCTCCCATGCACCCGAACACGTACGCGCCAACTCCACCCGCTGAAGATGCTATCCGACAATCATATGGATATACTTCCGAGCCGGCTGTACCATCCCAGATCCCCGAAGAACCAGCGTCTTATAGTGTCTATGAACCGCCTCAACCTGGGGACTCTGAGACACCTCAGCAGGATGTTGATGCTGGCATGGGCTTTGAAGCCCCGACACAGTCTTATGGCTACGAGCCTCCTACTGGCGCCGGCTATGTTCCCTACGTTCCGGAGCCGGACTCCCCAGAAGAAGCACCTAACGAGGTAAAGTCTAAGAAGAAATCATTCATGGATGACGACGACGACGACTTCCCCCGGATATCGCACCAGCCGCAGGACTCCGAGCCGAAGTCTTCAGTAGGAGATGATACAGCGCGCAAACGTGCGAATGACGCCGCAGCAGAAGCAGCCTTTCGTGCTGCAGCAGAAGCAGATGCTGCTCGCGAAAAAGAGAAGAAAGAATCAAAAAGATCATCATCGTGGTTTGGTGGATGGCTGGGAGGAAAGAAGGCTGAAAGCTTGGATGCCGGTCCAAGCAAGGGCGTTGACCAGAAGGTCTACAAGGCCAATCTAGGCGAATCGAAGATGAAACTGTACTTCGATAAAGAACTTGGGAAATGGGTGAATCCGGACAATCCGGACGCAGCAAAGAAGACAGCAACCCCTCCACCTCCAAGAATGGGTGGCACCCCCGGACCTCCTAACAGCTCTGGAGGGCCTCCAAGGCCACCAATGACATCTACACCTCCTATCTCGCATCCGAGTATGCCAGGCCTAGGAATGGGGCCGCCATCAGCACCATCGAGTCGCGCTGGTACTCCTGCCGAAGCAGCTGGAAGTTCAGCAAGGCCCTCGTCACAGATTGGAGTTTCTGGCCCTCCCAGCGCCACCAGTACCCCGCCAATCGGTCACCCTACAACACCTGGCCTTGCTCCACCACCGCGTCCAGCTACAGCAATGAGCAATGCTAGCAGCATTGATGATCTGATCGGCCCAGCAACGGGACGAAAGCCTGCGAAGGCTGGCAAGAAAGGCCCCAAATCGGGCAGATATGTGGATGTGATGGCGCAATAGATCTTTGACGGAAGAAACATTGAATAAAGGACTTCGGGCTCTAGCTACTGAGCGCCCATGAAAAAGAAGATATGGCTGTAACTGACTGTACAATAATTTTGGTTGTTGATGTGTGTACATGTGCTCTTGAGAAGAGAGGCGGATGCAGTTATGACTGCATGCTATCTATCACTGGCGATATGGGGTCAAAGACTCGGTAATGGCTCCCGGGGGTATACTGGCTTATAGCTTAATACTATGACTTGGTCCTATTTCCAGTTCTACGATGGATCTCCGTGACCTGCATGTAATACATACATACCCACCTAGGTCCCTAGGTAGGTAGTAGATAGGAGCATTTGGACGCCCTCGGCCTCGTCGGCTCCTAGATCTCAGCCTTGCGACTCTGGCACCACGTGACCACGTCCAATTTATGGTCATTGACATTCTGATCTCCCTACGGACTCTTCTGCAACCCGTGCCATTCCACCCTTCCGCAGACATGATACAGCTATTGCAGGTGAAGACAACCGTCCCGCGTTCTCGGTGACACTGGATCTCGCGTCAAAATTTTGCCAATAGGACCCAACACACATGCGAGCTATGAGAGTCCATCGAACGACAAACTGCCCCCGGTCCAACTTAAGCAGCAGACCCTCCCTCCACTCCGAGGGTTGACCACCGCTTGCGTTCGAAAGTATAGACGCCCCTTGATTGGGTCTTGCAGAGCGACTGAGCAATGGCCGCTCCTCCTCCTCCCCCCGGCGGCGACTCGTTGTCTTTAGACGCCGACTCGCGACTGGTCAGCATCTCCTGCTTCGATCTGCTCTTGATTGAACTGGTTCCCTTGGCAGAGCGCATGGCACGCGCGTACGAGGCGTCTCTCGACCGACCTCTCCCTTCCTCACCGACGGCATCCTCCTCCTCGTCGACGACAGCCATGAAACGGACATCCAAGAGCGGTCCTCCCACGGGCAGCGCAAGCACGGCCGTGGCGACCACGAACCCGTCCGCCCCAAGCATAACCATCACATCCGCCGTCCCCACGACCACGACCACCACCGCATCCTCACAACCCTCAAACACCACCGCCCTCCTCGCCGCCGACGGTCTCCCCTCCACGACCATCTTCGCCGACAGCGTCTACGTGCGTCTCGAACGGCTAGGTTTCCGCGTCGGGGAGGGGCTCAGTGAACGCATCTCGCGGGACAGGCCCCGCTTCAACAACAACCACCACTCACTACCCGGGGCCAGTGGCCTCCACGGTCCCGGGAATAACAATGTGGGAAACGTCAATGATCACCACCTGGACGTGATCAAGTTTTTGTGCAAGGATATCTGGGGCGTGGTGTGGAGGAAGCAGGTCGACAACTTGAAGACGAATCATCGAGTATGTTTCCCCTTAATCCTTTGCATAAGAGTCGGGACCTGGAGGCTGGTATCGCTACATATAACCTGCGAAAGTCTGAGTCGTCCATTGTTTGAGCTGTTGATGCCCAATACTCAACGCCGAAAGAAAAAAAATGGGCTGTTGACAGTGTATCCTACATATAGGGCGTCTTCGTTCTGACAGACAACAAATTCCGCCCGCTCACGCGCATGTCCATGGCCAACCACGCCGAAGCCCTCCAACGCGCTCGTCCTTACCTCTTCTTCCCCTGTGGCGTCATCCGTGGCGTCCTGAGCAGTTTGGGGATCAAAGCCACCGTGCAGGCCGAGACGATAGAGCTGCCTGGGGCGGTTTTCCAGATCACCACCGTGCAGCCTCAAATAAGGCCGTGAACTGGGAAAGAATATGGCACCAGTTTAGCATGCATCCATACAGGACTCTGAGCCCCGCATGGATGAAATCTATTTTCTAAAGTTGAGGCATGAGCATCTTCTATCGAAATCCTCCGAAATTGGCCACAGAAAAGACAGACACTTCTACAATCTAATACCGCAAAGAGGTGGTTGTACGAAACGTAAGGAGTAGGACAAGTGAGTTTTGTCTACGCGATCTCCAAGCTGCAAAAGATGATGCAGCCTGAAAAGCTATGTCATGGCGATGTCTGTGCATTGACGAAAGGAAGTCTTCGTTTCTTTCAAGACATGCTTTTCACAATCTGCTCCGATAGCTCCGTGTCAGTCTCCATGGGCGGATTACTTTTTCGCGCTCTCAACAACATTCAACGACCGAACAACCGCGTGGCAGGCAGGCTCGTTCTGGGGATCTAGAAGTCGCTCACATCCTACCTACGAAACAGTCAGGTAATGTTACAAAAGAAAGAGAAGACCAGACCTACTTGGGTGGGTTCTTCACGAAGCTGACACCAGTCTCGATGTTGGTCTTGAGGCCCTTAATCGCTTCTTCGAGCAGCTTCTTTTCGTAGTCGTTGGCGCTTCCCAAGATGTCGATGGCCTTCTCGGCACCGTCGGGCTATTACAAGCGTCAGCAGAGAGCGAGAGAGAAAGGATGGCAATCGGATGTCGAAAAAGACTTACCCCGAGTTCTACAGGAACGGAGAAGAATTCACAGCCAGTTGCCTTGGCAATAGCTTCACCACCGGGGACACCAGGAAGATAGACGAACGTTGGCTCAATGATGCCCTTCTCACCCTTGGATGCCTTGATAAGGGCCTCGGCGAATCTGAAGCCAGCATATGCCATAGACAGAGTTGCGGAACCAGCACCATCCTTGGCCTTGACAACCTCGTCACCACCAAATTGAACACGGTGCACCAGAGCATCCAGCTTATCCGAGGGGATGTTGACGGCAGGCTTGGCTTGGCTGAACAAGGGCACAATGGTGTTGCCAGAGTGGCCACCAACGACAGGAATGGTCAAGTTTCTCGGGTCCTTCTCACCAATGATGTCTCCCACGAAGGTCTGGGCACGGACGACGTCGAGAGTGGTGACACCAAACAGTCTGCGAGGGTCAAAGACACCAGCTGCCTTCAGAACTTCGGCGGCGATTGGGACGGTGGAGTTGACGGGGTTTGAGATGACACAGATGTATGCCTTGGGGCAGTATTTGGCGCAGGCTTCAATGAGGCCCTTGACAATTCCTGCGTTGATCTTGAACAGGTCGTCCCGGGTCATGCCAGGCTTGCCTGGGAACCATTATCAGTCCCAGCAAATATTCAGGGTGGACGGGATACATACGAGGGACACCGGCGGGAATAATGACAATGTCTGCACCAGTCAAAGCCGTCTTCTTTGCTTCTTCTGTCTCTGGTTTCTCTCCCTTGAAGTCACCTGGGGCTGCGACGTAGCCACCAATGGTCTGTTTCCTGTTAGACTCGTGGCATTCTGAGATTGGTCAGGAGGATCCCAGCAGACGTACAGCGACAGAGGAGATGTGTGACAGATCGGCTGCGACACCGGGGGTGTTGACCACATCGAACAGTGCGAGGTCGTCAATGACGGGAGAAATCTTGCAGAGAAGGGACAATGGCTGGCAAACAAGTTAGACTCGCCGCAATCTGCTGTAGCCCGATGGCCAGAGGAATCCATACCTGACCAATGCCGCCAGAGGCACCGAGAACGACAGCTTTGACCATGTTGAGAGTTCGGTGGGGGAGGGTTGATTGAACTGTGACGACAAGTTGAGAATTTCCCCTCTTCTTCAGATCAGAGGCTCGTAGTTACCTGAAGAAAGCCGGGACGGACTCAATGAGACAGGTACGTGCAAGAGTGCGCGAGTGTCTGAGGACTAGGAGCTTGCGAGAAGATTTTGAAAGATTCAAGAAATAGTTGGGGCGGTCAGACTTTCATTTGAGGACCCGACCAGGAAAGCAGTGACGCGGGACACAGAAGAGGATAGCGAGGGGAAGCACTGGCACTGCAGGCGCCGCTCCTCGCCAAGCACCCAATATCGATCGATTCGACGGCCACAGACTGGCACCGAACTGGCCTGCGAAGTGCCCCGCGTCAATCCGCAGCTCCGACATTTCACGTTCTCTGGCACCGCCATCCAACAGTCTCCAATGCCTGTCAGGCTCCGGGGTCTCCAATCATCTAGAGAGGCAAGGCTGCTTTTGGTGTCGACGAGAATTGCTCGGATCAGGCTGTGGCCATTATTTTGTTTTTGGCTCGCTCATTGGGTTCTACCTATGGAGTACCGATGTGTGTGCAATGCTCTCCTCATCAACGGTTGTTTGGTTATCCTCCATCGGAATCTTCCATCGGACGCAAATGCGATTCCTAGCCCCCGTTTGTCTTTTCGAGGAATAACCCCCGTCCTGCATTGCCAGGACATAAGATCTTGCCCCGTCGCCCATCTCCAGATGCCGCATCCCGAATAAAATGTCTCGGATGCACTCATCTATCTAGATTCTTTCGGATCCTGCCCCCCTGGCCCAAGCCGTCGCTTCTTCAAGTCGAACCGTTCAGAAGACAAAGGAAACGGGTGTCCACCTCCTTTCAGCATCTTCATGCCTCTGTCTTTCTCCCCTTGAGCCCGCGGGGCTTCTTCTCCGGAGTATCCTTCTTCGGTCGCTGCGAGTCCTTGAGAGCACTGGCACGGGCAACGGCGTCTCTGTTCAAGTCGCCACGGTATGATCTCTTGCCAATCGCATCTGCCACATTCTTGTAGATCCTGTAGAGTATACTGGTCAGCTACCGTTGTTCTCCGCGGCCTGTCTAAAGACATGAGTGTGAAAACTCACTTCCGGTTCGAGGCGGTCTTGCCGTAGGCGTGAGTGTTGTGGTGCGATGCAGGCTTGTGTGATGATCCGGTCTTCTTGGTCAACAGCGTCACTCCTCCTTTCTCGTTGAGTTGGATGGACGCGGCCTTGTCGTTCACAAAGCCGGCGTGTTTTCGCGAGTGCTTGTTGGTGAGGTTGAATGGGTCGCGGGAGAATTGCACACCACCGCCGGACTTCCTCTTGACCAGGAACGCATTGTTGTTTCCTGGCGGTTCGGTCAGTACGCCAGGTATAGAAGACATTTAAACTGGGTGTAAACTTACGGACAACCTCCCAGATGAGGTCGCCGGAGATGTTTGGACGTTCAGACATTGTGACGGCGGGGAACCTGGTCAGGATTGTCGAGCTTTTGTCAGTCTTGATACAAGGCTCGAACTTTTTGGTTTGATTTGTGTCTTGGGGGACATGGCTTCTGTGCGCAGGAACCCCGAAACGCCATTGGCTGTGGTATTCGCCGGCTTGGCACTGGCTCTACGGTGAAGCACTGAGCCTGGACGGGAGAGCCGAGCACGTCCGACTCCCGCCGCAGCCAGCAGGCTGACGACAACGAGCCCCAAGACCTAAAGGCCGACACCCAAATGCCTCAACTTGATTGCCACGACTGCCCAGCTTCACGCTGACCTTGGCCGCAAAGTAGCGACATTGCGCAAACCTCATAATGGGCACCAGGCTGTGATTACTGCAATACGAAACCCCTCAACACTTGTCTACGCTCTCCTTCAAATCCTCCGGAACCCCCGCGTAACATCTGTCGCTATCGGAAGAGCGCGCGATCATGGCATACATCCTCTACTCGGTTCTCTTCTTCTCCATCGCTCTCTCCACAGGTATGTTGGCTGGCCCCTTATCTTTGCAAACCTTACCGTCCGATGAGCTTGACTGATCCCGCGCCGCCGCTCCAGTTCTATACTTCACGCGCAGTCGCTGGACACCATACCTTCCGATTGCCGTGCAAGACCTCTTCTCCCGATTAAATCCATACACATATAGCCGCCTTCCCACGTCCTTCATGGGCGACGTCGAGTCGGGCTTCACCTCGGCAGACTTCGACCTCAGTTCCAACATCATGGAAGGCGACAGCCGAGGCGGACTGGACCAGAAGGCGAAGCGAGAGATCCAAAGGCTGATGAAGATTCGGGGCATCAATTTCGACGAGGCCAGGAGGGTGTACATGGAACAGGGGTTCAAGAAGCATGGCATCGGTGCGGACGGCATCCCCCGAGATCCCAAGTTCGTGTCGTTCTCGTAAGCGCGAGTTGGAGGGACTGCGGACTCCCGGCGTTTTGTTTGAGCGGACTTTTCGTGTTTTTGGAAGGGTTGAGTTTTTGCCTGGTACAGCTGAGGGCACGCGCTTGAATGTGTCGAGGGGTGTTTTGAGCTCTCTTGTCGCCCGACCTCGTTGACGCCTCTAATACGCGTACAACCACACGACAACAGCGATGACTGCTGGCTGGCTGATGATCTTGTTGTCACTACGCTGAAACCACGATCGACTCACTTCTGCGCAAAATCCATATGGCAAATTGGTCAGCTCTCGGCGCCCTTTCGGCGGGGAAGCGTTGGTCTTGGAGTGCCATGCATCAGACTCTTGTTCGGTATAATCAAGATGACAACTTTTACTTCAATCCGAGCCTTCACCTGTTCCTTCAAGAAACCCATCTGATACACACCACGGGGCACAGGCCAGACGTTAACAGAGGGTACTTGATCTACGTTGGGTCGATTCGAGGTGATCTGCTGGCATGTTCGGCAAGACTTAGGATATTAGCCTGTCCACCACAAAGGAGAAAGTTATGTATGGACCGAGTAGAGATGCCCTCGAATGACTGTATTCAATATTATTTGTGCTCCTTTTGGGCATGATGAGTTGGTCATGTCTGAAATAACAGACTGTCCAGATCACTCGCCGCAAGGTACCCAGAGGCAATCTTGCTTGCTGAAAACGCATACAGCATCCATCATCCTGGCAGTGGAGGCCGGCCAATGTATGAATGTTTACTGTACCTTTTTCTCGTCCTCGGCCAAATACCCCCTGTCGTCCTTGCCCTCGACCTCTTTCACGATCTCTTCCATTTCTCGACTCTGCTTTTCCCATTCCTTCTTCCCCATCTTCGTCTCGCGCTTGAACAACTCATCATTCGGCTTCCGATAACTTCCACCCAGTCGATCCCACAGCGTGGTGAATTGGCCGTAGTTCACAGAGAAAAAAAGATGATGCATCGTATGACAAGCAGCTCCATTGATCAAGGGAGAGTTGGCGTAGTACTCGCCGTCGTGGATGAAGATGGTCCAGATGTTGATGAAGGCGAAAAGAGCGATGTAGGCGAACTTTTGCAACGGGAACAGGAAGGGGAAGATATGGTACGGCGTAGACTGTGCAAAGCCGTCGAGAGGGTGGAACGCGTGCGAAGCATAAGGCGTAGGCACGATCCATTTGTGATGTGGCTTGTGGAGCCTTTTGTAGACCAGCGGGTGGTGGAGGCCGCGATGGATCCAGTAGATGCAGAAGTCGGTGAAGAGAACGAAGAAAGGGAACTGAAGGACGTTGTACCATCCGAAAGGGGCCTCACTGGGGAGGTCATAGAGTTTAGAGTAGCCGCGCACTTCTGCAAGCATGCAAAGTGCGGTTAACAGGGACATGAGCGGCATGGCGCGATTGGCCTGGCTGATTTCCATCCGGACCTGATTCTTCAGGTATTTCGGATGTTGGAAGGTGGTTTTGTCGAAGACGAAGACGTACGAAAGCGAGGCGCATAGGAAGTAGAGAACAAGTCCAAAGAACCTAAAACAGAAAAGTGTTAGGAGATGGACATGTATCGGGGGTTGTAAAGATTGGTGTCTCAAACTCACCAGACTATAAAGAACAGGCTAATGCCTTGTCGGAAAATGTTGTCGCGAGGCCACGAGCTGCTGTAGGTCCACTCGGTCGGTTTCAAATTGACAAACCGCGAGGCGGGTTCATAGATGTATGAATATTGCGGCGCAGAGGTCGCGTTTTCCCGTATACTCGAGAAAGTCGAGGTCGCCACATTGTTGAATTTCTGTTGGAGGTAGGACGATGGACTGGCAGGTAATAATGTGGCGTAGACGCGGTCAAGTACGAGGGTGTCGACGATTTCTAGGACGATATCCATGGTGAAGAGTGTGCGAGAAAAGCAGGCGTCGCGTCGCCTCTCTAAACCTGGGAAATTCTGCTCTGCTGCGCGCGTCCGAGGACTTGAAGATGTCGAGCGACCAGGGCGGATGACCAATTGAAAGGGAACGATGCTGAGGCTCAAATGGTGTCTTGGGTTCTAGGGAGAAACAGTTTGAGGGTCGTTAAGACTTTGCTACATAAGAAGCAGAAGAAGTGGCGTGAAATGGCATCTCGACGATCCGGAAACCCGATAGCGGAAGCCGTTGAAATTATTAAACTATTTGTTTGAAAAGGTGGAGAGCATATGCCTGAGTCCGGGCTGGCAATTGGCTCTAAGGCGGGCGGTGAGTTACTCAGACCCTTTTTTCCCTGTCACGCCTGTGTAGCTCTGCGCAGCTTGTGGAGGTGATAAAACAGTGGCATTGGAGCATTGGAAGCACCGAGCCACCAAATGTCGGGAAAAGCTGGCAACATCCGAGAAGTGGTGTGCTTGACCGTATTGCCAAGGGCTCTCACGTGATCTCTCGGCTAACTTTCCATCATAGAGCAACGTCCTCGGGCACGCTCGCGGGCTGCGTCATTGACCGACAATTTGTGAAATAATCATATTCCATCGGGACAGCAATAAACACATTGTCCATGTACAACAGCTTCCTCTCGCGCTTTTCTTCAGCCGCTGCAAGCACAGTCATGTTGGCCTAGCCGCTCTCCCTCAACTACCTCTCCTCGTCTTCCTGAACCACGATGTTCGAGCTCGGCGCAGCCACTTACCCTCATTTCTCAATTCCTTGATCCTTCGAACATTCGAGACATTCTCTCATCTTCTTGGGTCTTTGGCTCATGACGTCTCAGCATAGCCATGGTCTCTCACCTGCCTCGATCGAGACCATTGCAGGCTTGTCTGCCGGCCTCATATCCACCGTGATTGTCCATCCTTTGGACATCATCAAAACGAGGTTGCAGGGTAGGTTCGATGCTCCGGAGCGCAAGAGAACGTCCTATTGACAATTTCAAATAGTCGACACTTCTGCCCACCCTCTCTTCAATTCCTCTCGGGCTGTTCTCCGAGACATCTTGCGAAATGAAGGTCCCACTCGGCTCGCTGCTCTTTACCGAGGACTGACTCCCAACCTGGTGGGCAATTCTGCCGGCTGGGCTTTGTATTTCTTGTGGTATCGTGAAGCCCAAGATGTCATCCGAACCCTCCGAGGCTATACTGCTGGTACACAACTCACAGCCGTCGATTACCTCACGGCCTCCTCTGCCTCTGGCCTTCTCGCTGCCATACTTACGAATCCAATCTGGGTGGTGAAGACGCGAATGCTTTCCACCTCCTCTTCTCAGGTCGGAGCATATCCGAGTCTGACACATGGGTTGCGAGCAATATACAAAACAGAAGGAGTCCGTGGATTTTTCCATGGTCTGACACCCACGCTGGTCGGCGTCACCCATGGCTCGCTGTATTTTGTGGCCTATGAAAAGCTCAAGTTATGGCGCAAGACGTCCAAGAAAGACCGGACACTTTCTAACCTTGATACCATCATTGCCTCCTCATTGTCAAAGGTCTTCGCTGGGACCGTGACCTATCCTCATCAACTGGTGCGGGCGAGGCTGCAGACATACGATCCGAGTGCAACCACACATGTCAAGCGCCCAGGCGTCATTGCCTTGATCAGGCAGATTTGGCGCAACGAAGGCTTGGTGGGCTATTACAAAGGTCTCTTTCCCAACCTTCTGCGAGTTGTCCCGAGCACATGTGTCACTTTCCTCGTGTACGAGAACACTCGATGGGCTTTGCCGAGGATGTTTGGAAAGGTGGAGGAGGAACCTGCTATAGCCACGGGGGTGGCGCGGAAAGGGGAGAGGCCCTTGTAAGGAGGAAACAAGCGGTCAGACTATTTGGACGTGGGCATCACCTCACCTCATCAGACGCCAGGCTTTCCTGCATAAAATTGGCTCCTGCAACATCCCACGCCGTCCGAGTTCATTGATCAGCGGTCATGTGGCCTAGGAACAGGGGACGGTGATTTCTCCATATTGCTGTCATGGTGAGAGTCTCTCCACCACGGCTTTGCAGCTCCATTACCGTCTCGAGGCAACGGTCGAGTCCATGGCAAGGTCTGCGCGGATTATACCATACTCGATTGAGTAGTCGGGGTTAGTGGCGGCGGCCTCCGAAGCGGGATGGAATGCACTATGTCGACAGGAGGAGCGAGGGTCGATCTTTCGCTTCCTGGAACGTCACCGGGCTACAAGGGACCTCAAAGAGGCGAACATGGAACGCGACCCTGACTGAGGCCGCCAATCATGAGGATTGTCATCGGGTCAGCTAGCAACATTGACAAATTTCCACTCTCCAAGACCAGGTCTCCCCACTGGATTTGCAAGACTAAGTGTACCTAGGTAGGTAGGGTACTGTGCATGCGCGCAACCCAGTCCCTTGCATTGCATTGGCGGCAGACAGCCTTATCCACATGCTTCCCAGTCCAAGGTCCATCCCCGAGACGTTCTGGAGACAAGGACAAGATTGCCGAGCGTAACCTTGAGCGGAAGGGGGCAAGTGTGGCGGGTTCGGTTTGAAGCGGGACGAGACCCATTGCGAAAGGGCGAGGTCGATACGGCGTGAATATCTGTTCCTGCGTCAATGCATCGATCCACGAGTTGCGAGAGTGTCTCGAGATTTGCTGGCGCGAGGAGAAAAAGAAAGTGCCCGCCCACCAGCCTTTGTTAGTCATGAAATTGGCCGTCGTGTTTTGGGCAAGTGTAAAGCTTACGAGGTACTTAGCGGTAGTCGTCCTGTCGTCCTGCAGCTACCAAACCCTACACGGAACTCGGCCTGGAGAGAGGGTTTTGGTAGCGTGGGAGCGCAAGGAAGGAAAGGAAGGAAAGGAACGAAAGGGGATTCCATGAGCTGGGCCTCGCACTCAGTCCAGCTGAACGCCTGCCCCGATGCAGGCCTGCGATTGGCCAATTGCGCCCTGGTCGGTGGCGGTCGGACTTGACTTTGCTAGCGCCGAATGGCACCTTCTACCGACATTCTAGAAGCCATTTCTAGCGTGCTTCTAGCGCACTTCCATTGCTCTTCTAGCGGCCAACTCCATTCCTGGCGCTATACAGACTACCTAGGTACTTACTAGTACCAGGTTACCCAGTGGGTGCCAAGGTGGCTGGGAGAAAAGCGGGACACTGCGTTCAAGCTGGTGGAGCCTTGCAACTCTGAGCAACTCTAAGCAACTCTGAGCAAACCGCCCGAGCCGACACAGAAACCCGCTCACCCATCGCTCTCCTCTTCTCCTCACTCTCCATGCTTGGTACGAACACATCCCACGTCCGGGACGCCATCCCTCTCCACTCTCCGACCCAAGGAGGAGAGTGCGAGGAGAGGTGGCCCTCCTCCTCTGACCATTCGGGATCCTGGGAGGGAGCGAGGGAGAAAGCGCCTCGGAATACTACCTGCCTGGTTTCCAGAACCCATTGCTCGCGTCTGATCCTGGGTCTTGTTCTTTCTCCTTTCCTATCTCGGCCACCGCCAGCACATCTTGCGACTCCCCTCGCTAGTTGGATCCATGCCACTCGTCATCGCCTGATCTTTCAAGTCAGACTTCTCCCCGATGCTGCGCAATCTTCTAGCACTTTGTCTATCAGCCAGCCTCAAGCATCAACACCTTGATCTTCCTTCTTGTGTGCCGCTTGTTGCCACCCCCCTATTGACTAGATTATGCACGCTGTCCGCCACATCTCTGTGGCAGGTGCTCACAGTCTTGACACCGTCTTGACCGGCACTAGTTGACCCTGTGTTGCTTTGTTCCATCAATCCTCGAGCACTAGAGAGGTTGACCCGGAAGACAGTGCCGGTCACTTGCCGTCAGCGTCAAAATGCGCCATTCTCATGCGGAGCACTAGCAGGGGGAAGAGGAGGGCACCAGAGGTATCCCGTGGCGTGAGGCTAACCCCCGGGACCGTGAGAGGTTACATGATGAGACCAGGTACATACCGCAACCGAGCTAGCGTGACTGCATCTCTCAGTATTGGGGACGGCGCATTCTAATCACTGCGTCTTGCTGAGGATGCAACAATCCCACACTCTCTGACACACACAGCGCCGTCTGCCTGGCAGTCTGAGGCCAAGATAACACAGGACCTCCCCAATGCTCATCGCGGAGGACATGGGTTCGACAAGACCGGACGGAACAGCCTGATTAGACGACACAGGATTGTGACCAGACATAGTTTGCATGTCCCAGGTATTGTATTGCTGTCTGTCATTTCGACCTCCAAGCCACGCCCCCAGCGGATGATAGCAGGGGATCGTTGCCAGAATTCTCTTCCAAACGGGTGTTAAATCATCATGGCATGGGTCAGGAGAGACGATCGTCAGCGCTACTTGACTTTGGCCCCCCCAGTCAACGGCGCAATGACTAATTGCTTAGTCCACTCGCAAGATGGCAGCCTCGCCCAGTTGGCATTTTCTTGGAGGTTGAGTGATCTAATCACCTACCTACCTATTGGACATGGACCATGGTGGTCGGCGTTCCCGACTTTCTTCAAAATCCCCTGCAAGGAAAATAGGGAGTGCAGGGAGGGGGATGGATGGTATGACCCCAAAAAACAAAGGCTGCAGGTAACACGAATGATGCACAATGGGTTTGCCCATGGGATTTTCTATGCTTGATTGTTCCCACAAATAGCACAAATAGCACAAGGCAAGGGGGGAACAAAAAGGCGCAACAACGGGGCAATGCAGAAAATAGTGACCCGGGGGTTGTACCGGACTTTCACTTCTGTCGAGACGGCTCCCAACCGACGAGGAAAAGTACTATTGCTAGGGGGAAGTTTTCGACCCAACATCAATCGTGGCATCAATCGCTCCACTGGCCGCGATTTTCTGTTCTGCTTCGCTGTGACTGACATTGCTGGGTTTTTTGAGAGCTCCTGCTGCTTCTACCCTTCTCCTTACAAGAGACGAGGGGATCCCATGTTGTCGCCGTCGGTCTTTTAGGGACTTTTTGCTATTTTGGAGTCGAGAATTGAGATTCATCTTTCAAAAAACAAAAAACAAAAAAAACTTGCCCCCAATTCCCATGCTAGGTAACTACAAAACCCCGAGAGAGTGTCAAAAGTCCCCTTTCTGCGCAGACGCCTGATGGTTTCCCCCCCCCTTGTTCCATTGCCTGTGTCACCCTTCCCTCCTCTTTGTCCGGTGTTGCCTTGCTCGTCTCTTGTCCGGCCCTGTCGTGCAACACTGCAACCCATAGAGACATGACGTCAGATTGAATTTCCAGGCCACTGGCAGAGAGAGGCACAGAGAGGCAGAGAGAGAGAGAGAGAATGTGTGTGTGTGTGTGTGTGTGTGTGAGTTTTCCCGTGTAACAGAGCATACGAGACAAAAGAGCATTGATGAGTCGAACCTCCGGTAAGGAATATTACCTCGCGCAGAAGAACAGAAGAGGGGGGGGAGGACTGGCATGAGGTTTCGTCGAGATAGCAGTTTCGTCTGAACATAAAACAATAGACTCCGCTTTCCAACGCAGTGAAATGAATGAATGAATGAATGGATCGACATGCTTCGATTCAAAGATGGTATTCCAAAAAGGTCAGTCAGTCAGGCCAACTTGGTTCATCATCCTGGCTTGAGACAAGGGGGACATTCATTCAGTTCCCTCCCGTCCTGACAAACCCAGCCCAGGGACCGACAGCCTTGCCGCAGGGGGTGGAGGGTCGGTCAGCCTTGCGACGAAAAACAACCCCTGGTTCACCACTCGGGGGTCAGGGGTCGGGGGACAAAGAGCAGGGAAAAGCACCAGACAGAATAGAGGGAAGAAGAAAAGGAATGCAGCCCTCGCCCACCCCGGGGAGTCATAATGCCGGTAACGTCACAACGCTGGACCAAGGATAGACACATTGTTTTTAAATTTTCCTTTGACGTAAAAATCAACATTTCCCTGGGAAGGAACTTACCTAGGCAATATCGTCGTACTTGATTGAATGGGGGAGGAGGCGTTGTCGTAACACTGTCGCATGTCGAATCCCCACAACCCGCAACGTCAACGTCGCATAATGACGGGCACCAGACGGTGTCCATGTCACGCGCGCACTGACAATGACAGCAAGGAGCAGCGACGATGAGTGACCGGCCCCTGCATAGTTTGTCAACCCAGCCAGTCAGCCAGAGGAGAACAGAGGAGAGTCGATTCGGCCCGACCAATTCTTGATTCCTGCCCTGCCCTGCCCTGCCCTGCGCAAAAAGCAAATTCAGTCTCAGTCTCCCCTTTGCCACTTCGGGAGGCGCGCGACCATTGTTGTGTCGTCCCAAGACGGTCCGTCCCCACCGTGCAATCATCCCATGCATCTGTGTCCCTCGTACTGCCTATGCATGTAACGGCCATCGCCTGTCGGTGCTGGCCCTACTGGGCGCATTTTCCCGGGGCCGTGACCAAGATAGGGCCGACTGGGTTGACGTTTTGGTCTAGTGGACTCCTCCTCCCGCTCTTGCTCCTTCTCGAATCTCGAAGGGAAGGACGATGGAGAGATAGAACAGAGGGAGAGAGGCGAAAGACTGGTCGGGCCGCAATCCCCCTCCCTACCCTGCCCCGTCGTGCCCTGCCCCTGCGCAATATCAGCGGGGATGAAACCATTCCCGTCTACGCCTCCTCGTATCTTGTCGTGTTCTTCATCCCTTCTCTCTCTCACTCTCCAGGCTCCAGTATGTAATGTCTTGCCGTTCTCCGTGACCCACAGGGTTAGAACGTCAAATCTCTCGTCTTTTTCTCCTCACTTCACTGCCCTGTTGCGCTCGTTGTCCTTTTCCCGGTGAGATCAGGCGGGCCAACCGGGGCTGAAAGAGCGTCGACAAGGTGAACTGAGAAACAGACAGACCAGTCAAAGCAGTCAGGGCCGCAGGGCCATGATTTGCAGAAGGCGCCATGGCCCGCCCCTAGAAAGGAGCCTCCACCGAAACACACGGACCCAATCCACCAAGACGACGATCAGCAGCGTAGCATCAAAACACCCACTCCTCCTTTAGCCGCTGCTTGTTCGCCTGGAAAGTCAGCCTTGCCCCCCTTTCGGGCTTTCTCCAAAACACAAACAGACCAAAAGAAAAGTGCTCTGAACCTCGCACCAAGATGGGAAACTGCGCACAGCGGGAGTGGCAAAGTGAGAGAAACAGCTTGCAAAAGAGGGATAATATAGAGATTTTTTGACATAGGCTGTTTGGAGCCCAATAAGCTTCATTTCCTTTCGTCGTATCATCCTTCATTTGAATCGTAATCATATCTGGTAAATGGTGTATCTCGGTAATGACAGGGCTCTCCTTGAGATGGCGATTTTAAGCGTGAGGTTTGGCATGCTATGGAAATGGTAAAACCGCAAAGCAAAGCAAGCAAAGAAAAGCACAAATAAAGGCTCCAAACCAGGACGGACAGCAGGAGATATAAACATACATCCTACCGTCACCTTCTTCTGCATGAAATGAAACTTGACCGCTTCCTTCCTTTACTTTCCTCCTCCGCACGCCCTGGTACTCGTACAATTTTCGCTGTGTTGCATCCTCCGTAAAAGACCCCTCTTAGATTGAAAAAAAAGCTGAAGTAGCACGCGGAAATGACTGGTTGTGTAATTGATGGATAATTGCGCCATCAGTGTCGAACGAAGCAATTCTCGTTCGAGTTGCGATCCCTGTGGGCTCCTTGAATCATGGGATTTGGTTCCCTCGTCGGTAATGACTGGTCGGGGAAATCCTCCGTTTCAGATCAATTGGTGGCCGTTTCGAGCTGATCGATTCTTGTGGTCGGTTGCGGAACGTACTTGGACCGCCGGTTCAGTTTTGCGAACATGCTATTGATATCCGCTCTGATTCTGGCTTGTGGGCATTCACCTTTGTCGGTTGGTGGAGGGGCGACAATTTCAAGGTTGTGGTTCAGGCGTAACAATCACCTCGACTTTCCGACCTTTGCCCCTCCCTTTTATGCCCTTGTTGCTATGCTTGTAGAGGTCCTGGAAATATTGACGAAGCTCAGCGTGCTCTGGGTTCAGCTCGTTATTTGCAAACTGTTCGGATAGTTTTGCCAAGGTCTCTTTGTGAAATTTGTTCATGTGTGCTTTGAGATTTCCCAGTTGTGTGAAGACTTTGCCTCCATGGCTGCCGTCCAAGCCTCTGCAGCCATCGAGTTTGCATTCGTACCGGCGAGTTCGGGCACCTGGATCGGATGAGGATCTCTTGCGGTTCGGTCGTTGGCCGACGTGCCGTCGTTCGTGAGTTCGAAGGTTGCCCAACTGCGAAAACGTCTGTCTGCACGACGGAACAGAGCACGTGTAAGGCTTCTCTCCTGTATGAGAACGGAGGTGGATCTTGAGGTGTGTTGGCTGAGAGAAGGACTTGAAACAGTCAGGATAAGGGCACAGGTGCTTCTTGGGCTTGCCACTGTGACTGCTGCTCGCTGGCACAAGCACCTGCGGAGGTTGTAAAGTCTTCATGAGCGAGTCAACCTCAGAAGTATGATCCGGGGCAGAGGTAGCCGAAGACTGTGGAACGGTGGTGGGAGGAGTAGTGCGGCTCGATGAGATGATGGACTCAAGCCGGTTCTGCTCTGATAGATCCGAGGACAAATAGCTTGAGGGTGCCTCTGAGTAGATGGAGAGGCCATCATCGAAGTTGCCCCGCTCTTCTCCTGCCCAGCTCACAGGCGTCGCCGGGCCTTGGCCCGGAGTGAAGTATTCCATGGGAGAGAAATCATACTCGGACAAGTTGGTAAACGTCTGAGCACGGGTCAGAGTAGTCGGCGGCGCAGAACCTGGAGTACCGAAGGAGTCATAGTCGTACATATCATTCGAAGGCACGTTCTGTAAGTAGAACTCCTGCGGGAAGGTTCGTTGCTGTGCAGTTGTTGGAGGCTTGGAAGGCACCGGCACCGACGTAGGCACCATCCATTGCCTCAATTGATGCATATGCCACTCGATCTGGTCGGCGGTTGGATTGTAGGCCATGTTCAACATTGGAGAGGGTTTCGTGGTCAACGTCAAGCAAGGGTAGCACGCCGGTAGGTATCCTCTGTCGAAGCAATCCCACTTCCACCGAAGTCAAGAAGAATCCAAGAAGCAATGGTTCTTTGGACAGTGTAAAGGTGTGGCTCGGGTGCGACGCTCGGAATGGATTGAGGCTATAGAGTAACACTTTGAAGCAAGGAAGAGCCAACGACAGGACTACATCGCACTCGAATGTCGGTCTAGGGATTGGATTGGCAGCAGATTAAGCAAGAGAGGGCGGATACGGAGTGCGAAGTGTGGGGGTTCGAGTCGCCAGTGGCTGGAAGACGGTTTGAGCGGTCCTCAGGTTGGCCAGGGTCAATAGACAATGAACAATTCAACAAAGCAGCTTTTGAGGAAGAAACAATCCTGGAGCTTGCAGACGTAAGCCGAGTCTAACGTGGTCTACTGATGGGTAGACAGTATAGTTCGACTGACGAGATCAAACTGGGTATTATACCTCTTCGCTTGACCAGACCCCAATGCATGCGCCGATACAACCAGTCAGCGGCATGGGCACTTCCAAAAGGGACAAAGCTCCCTAGCATGAGGGTTTCAGGGATTATGCGGCAAGCGGAAGAGATTGCAGTCCCCATCGGACGTATCTGGCGTCGTCGAGGCTAAGGTATCGAAAGGGTGCAGCCTTGCCTCTCAAGCCAATTCGAGCGTGGGTGCGGCAAGGCCATTCAGCGCCTGTGCTTACCGGTTTGGGCGAGCCAGATGACACAAGATTGAAAATTTTTCGAGATCGGGCATCATCTCAGTGGATGGCAGAAGGAGAGGGAAGCCCTCAGGCCAGTCAGAGGGGCCCTAGATGATTTCGGGACACGCAGATGCGAGGTAGGGCATGGGGATGCATAAGGGGAGGGATTAGGGCTGCAAGGGAAGAAAACTTACTCAGGCTCGGGGCGGACAGTTCAGAGTCTGAGGACATGTCGTCGTTACCCTGAGGTGGGTCGGGGGGAATGGTGGATGAGCATGACAACCAGGGCAGGGTCAGGACCGATAGCCTGCAGCGATCGTGCGATTTGGCGCACCTCACTAAGGACTCAAGAAGCAAAGTAGGCATCCTGGCATGGGGAGACAGGAGTTTGGGGGCATTGGGTCGCCAGGTGAGTAGTTCATCCGTCATGACCAAGTCGGCGCTGGTCAAGTCGCAGGGCCATTTTGAGCTGCATGAAAAAGCTCGGATGAAAAAGTTGCTGGGTGGAGTAGGAGGAGGAGGGATTTGGGGCACATTGGCTGCTGGACCGACCAGGATCTCACAGACTATGCTGTTAAAGGAGACTCCACGCAGCTAGACACTCGTGGCGCCGACCTGGGAATAAGCGAACGCCCAGGCTGATGTGTGGTCGATTGATCCTGGGTCCTGCATGCGGGTGCATGCTGCGCGTTCATTCCTCCCGCCGTCTTCCATGGAACCTTTGGAAGGACAAGCCGGCCCATGCCCTTCCCTTCCTTGGGGATTGCGGTGAGGCTTAGATCGCTCTTGGGCAAACTTGGGAACAAGGGCGAGCCAGGAACAAGATTCGGCTACAGTTTAGTTGGCCTTTCCCGCAGCCAGTGCCTTGGTGGTGTCTTGCAGCAGCTGAGATTTTCCTATCGGGATTTTATGCCCTGGCTTGCATGCGTCCCAAGAGATCTTGGGCTGAGCATGGAAATGAAAATTTTTTCTCCAGCTGCACGACGCTGCTCTGGGTTGGAATTTGGGGTTTCTGGGAGAAGACTCCAGGATGATGATAGACCTGACCAGGCAGCCGTGGGTTTTGGCACATGATCAAGAGAAGAAGCAAGCGAACAAGGGCTTCGTAGTGGTCCGTGGTACGGCTCATCCCACGCGGCTTCCCCTCAAATTGCCTGCCCTATAGCCGAGACGGCAGCGTCTGGGCCGGCCATGGTCTTTTACGCAAATGCTTCGGTGAAGAAATCCTCGCCCCCTCTTGGCCCGATAAAGACGATCTTAGATTTGGTCACCGAGGGTTAAGCTGTTTTGAGAGGGAGACCGCGAGGGGGTCACATGGATGGATAACAGTTGAGCAAGGGAGACTTCTCGTTTCAAAGCTAGGGCCGCTTGGAGTGACGAATGGTCGGCGTCACAAGTACGAGGATTGGCCCATTGATCGAAGGTGATGATCAGAGATAGCATTGATGGCTACCTAGGTATTGTCTGGGAGAGTCAGATCGAGTTAGTACGAAGGATTGATTGACGATGGAGGAGGAAAGGGGCAGAGGGGGAAACGGGTACGCCCGCTATGGCTGCGCTCGGCCGCCTCCGAAGGTGAATGGAGTCGGAGGGTGTGAGGGTGTGAGAAATGGAGTGTGAGGTTACGCTCGCCCAGTTCCAAAGGGACGAGGTATTGTGGACTTGGATACTGGGTACTTTTGGTACCGCGGTATTGTCGACGCCTCAATTCCGCTGCTACTAGGTAGTAGCCAAGGTACCTAGGTAGCTTAGCAGCGACAGGGGAAAAGAAAAAGAACTGTACATGACTACATGACTACAGGACTGTAACTGCGCCTGTTTTGGCCTGTGTTGGCTGTAGATCTCGCTCCGAACGCTACGTGACTTACGTCAGGGACTGCCACACAGAAAGCCACACAGAAGCCCATCTCGATTGTCCACCACCATCACCATAACCTCCATTACCACGACGGACTTGGACGACGATAAAACCCTCGAATGGCATTGCATGGACTTTGTGCTATATCCCTGACTAAAAAAATTCTTGTTTGATCATCAATGTATTCACGGCTGTGACTGGCTTCTCGGCTAGATCCTAGTAGTGGTGGTAGTTGTGGTAAAGAAAGATGGAGAAATATCGACGGCGAAGTCTTCTCGATGCCCTTGTCGACAACGCGATGGCAATCACCATGTCTTCATCCCCATGACTTCCTTTCCCTGCACCACCTTTCCATCCTCCAGTGTAACATCAGAGCAATACGCAACAATGAGCAATGTTTTTTTCAAATCAGAAGTATAGCCCAAAGAAAAGAAGAGTGGCTGCTGACGGTCGCTCCAACGGTCCATCCTCAATCCCAGCTCGCCTGATCCGCCTGGTTGAGCTCAAACACAGACCATCCACCAGACACCACCCCCAAACATCCACTAATGCGAGCCTCCCACGCCCGTAAGAAGCCCAGCCATTCCCAGACCCGGTGACCGTCGAGCTAAGAGAGAATACCCTCAAGCCCTCGAAGCCCCTGATGCACACGAGCCCTGGCTCCTGCAAAAGAGTCCTCATGCCGTTGCCGCTATTGCCGAATGCCCTTCGAGTGCTTCAGTCTGTTCATAAAACACTGCCAGCAACTGATATGTGAAGGTGAAAGTCTCCAAAAGCCAAAAACAAACAAACAAACATGTCACAGCGAACTCCGCCAACCTTCCAGTCCTAGCCTCGCCCAATTTGCTGCCGTTATTTTGCTTCTAGAACGTTTCGCGCATTCCATCAGGCTCACAGCCCTTGATGGGCTCCTCGCCACGTGGTATACTGCCAGATCCGAGCTTTCATATCTCCTGATCCCGTGGCGAAGAGATGTCCTGTCGGACATGGCGCAACAGAGATCACCGAGTTCTTGTGACCTTGAAGCATCATCTGCGCGTTGCCCGTGTTCGGATCCCAGAATTGCACTCCACGGTCTTTCGACCCAGACATGACCCATTCGCCTCCCGGAGTGAGGCAGACTGAGAGCACATAGTCCTGCAGGCACACCATTGTTAGTATATCTCTCAGATGATATCAGAGATAGGGGAGAAGGGGGAACATGCCTTGTGCCCTTCAAAGGTGCGGATGCATTTGCCGTCCTTTGCTGCTGCGGCTGGAATAAGTCCTCGCTGTGGTGTGAGTTCCCACATCTTGATCGTCTTGTCCAAACTACCACTGACCAGCTCCCTCCCATTAGGGGAGAAAGCGACCGAGTAGACACTATCTTTGTGACCCTGTGGTCCTTCCAGCCGCTCGATGAGATACCCACTCGAACAATCCCAAACTCGAACACTCTTATCCAAAGAACCGGCTGCAACGAAGCGTCCATCGGGCGACATGGCTACAGTGGTCACTCCGTCTTCAATCGAGAGGACCATAACCTGTTGATTTGACTCAATATCCCACAGGCGCACGGTTTTGTCACCCGAGCCTGAAGCAATCAACCGCCCAGTTCGTGAGAAGTCCAACGAGTAGATGTCTTGCTCATGACCATCGAACGTGGTGCGGATGCGCTTGCTTGCAATGTCCCAGACGCGGATTCTCTTGTCTTCAGCGCCAGTGGCCAACAGTTTGCCGTCAGGAGAGAAGCAAACTGATCGGATGTACAAGTCACCGTCCTTGTCCTGGACATTTTCGTCGAGTAACTCGCATACTTTTTGACCGTCCCTGGCGTCGAAGATTTGAGCACTGCGATTGCAGCCTGTAGCGACGTACTTGCCATCGGCTGAGAAGCGGACACAGCACACGACGGAAGTATGCTGAAGATTGTGCAGGAGAGTAATATCAAGCACACGAGGTACATTCGGATTGAAGACCGCATGCCACTCGCCATCGGCACTGGTCCGTTTGAGATGATCTGGGAGATCGTCAGGATTCAGGTCAGCCAGAACATTGCCGACGTTAGGATATTGGCCTTGGCCTGCCATTTGATGACGCGGTCCAAGCATGTCGGTGCCTGGAGGAGTAGGTCGGGGAATTTGAGGCGAAGCTCTTGGATCATTCTGATAGGGCATGGCCTGTGGTTGATTAGGATGTTGCTGAGGAGTGGCAGGTCCAGGCCCAGGTGCTCCTCTGCTAGCCATGGATCGATTCTTCCCAAGACCCGGGGAATTCGTGGGAGGTTGTGGTTGCGGCCCGTAACCGTTCAACGTAGGACCCTGCTGATAGCCAGGAAAGGAGTTGGGTGGTTGCGGCGGCCCCTGAGGTTGTGCTGCTGGTGGAGGGGGCTGCAGAGGATGTTGTTGAGGGGGAGGTTGTTCCGGTGGAGGAGCCAGTCCCGGACCACCTTGACCTTGGTTTGCCATGATTCCGCTGAACAGCCCACCCTGGCCATGCCCAAGAGCTGGCGGTGCTTGCGCAGGACCAGCATGTTGAGGAGGACCACCGAGGTGCGACTGTACTTGGGAGCCTCCTCGGATCTCCAGTTCATGTCGCAGCATACGGATCTCAGCCTCATAGTCTTGCTTCATCTTCAGTTGATTCTGCTCGAGCTGATAGACCTTGTTGCGAATCAACTCCATCTCTTGAATTTGTTGTGCGACCTGGCTCTCGACTTGTTCTGAAGCTCTGCTCTGGTTATCGAACTCGGCGCGCAGTTGATCCATGATCTCGTTCAAGCGATGGTTAGGCTGCCCAGGAGGCGCTGGCCCCAAATTGGGGTTGCCGCGATGCTGAGTCGCATTGAACATGGCGGATGGACAACGAAATGATGAGGGCTATGAAAATTCGTGCAGGATTTGGATGGTTGTTGGCTACAGGGGAAGTCAGTAAGAGGAGTGAAGAAGAGAGTTGGGTTGCCACGAGCGTAGGTACCTGTTTATTCGGCGAGAGAAGCGCAAAAGGCGCTAGTGGTAAGGGTAGAAAAATTGCGGATAAGCTCACTCAGAAGCCTCGGGCGACGGCCCAAGGCACAGTTGATGCAGCGACGGAGCGCGAGTTCGTGCTAGATATCGATATGGTCGGCTGATAGACCTTACTGATGGAGATAGAACCCTGCGCAAGTGAAGGGAGCGACGGGGCAGGAGGGGAGAGGGAGAGGTGTTAGACGCGCAGGGAAGTGGAAAGGAGAGAAAGTGCGCCTCAGTGGAGGTGGTGCAAAGCAAGACGGAAGAAGGAGGAGCTGCAGCAGTAACTGCAGCAGCGGCTGGAAGCAAGAGACACGAGAATGGGGCCGATGCACCACGAACGAGGAGAATAATGGGGGCGAGCTTCTGATGATGGCCGGAGTGGCACCCAAGTGGGAGGGGCTGATGGCTGGAGCTTCTTAACTCACCTACCGTACGCCGTACGGAGGTGTGGAAGGTCTCGTATCCACAAACCGCAGAGCCATGATGCAGGCCCAGGCGCCAGGCCCCGGATGGCAGATTTGGATGGCCGTGGGATCATCATAGGCGGCGCCCGCGAGGAGAAGCCAAATTAAGAGCCCGTAGGGCGGGCGCATGGGCGTGCAGGCAAGAAGCGTAAAAGCACTGGTCACCCAGAAGCACACGCTAAAAGAGGCCACTAGGAAGCCTAACCCACACGATTGGCAGTTGGCCTAGAGCCTAAGGAGGCTCGTGCTCAGAAGACCGGAGAGAGCGAAGGATACCCCAAAGCAATTGGTTTTCTCAGCCAAGGGGAGAAAAGCCAATAGCATGAACCTCAAAACCCTCTGGAAAAAGACTGTGTAACCATCTGGCCAGCCAGCGACTGGATCACACTGAACTACCAAAGGGCCGGATCAAAAGTCCAGAGAGGGCACCGGAGGAGTTGTTTATTTGTGTACCCAACTACGGAGGACCTACTCGGTACCGAGTACGGTGCATGGTGACACCCAGAGACTGCGACTGGCAGTGTGCAAATGCGACAAGGCTGCAGGATTTGTCTGCCGCGCAATCATCTTCCGGCGACAGACCCGCCGAATCCCAAGCTCTCCATCCTCTGCCGAATGATTGCGCTCCATTAGGGACGGGGTCCTGAAAAGAGTGCAGGAGAGCGTTTGGGCTAAGAAAAACATGAACCGGGAAACTATCAGGCTGAGGCACCAAGCGAACAAGCCACCCTTCGCTTCAGAAGGCGGTCATCTCCACCGCCGGACCAGCTGGATTTTCCCGAATGCAGGGGCCGCCTGGCCCTCTGCAGGCATAGATACGAGTAGGAACCTCGTACTCATACGGGAGTGATCTGGGCTATGCCGCTCCAGCGCAGTGGGTCTTGTCTCGGATTCAATGAGCCCAATGCGATCGAATTTTGGTCGACCCTCATCGTCAAGTCTGCAAGATCATTTGAAGTCTCTGCTCGCTGTTCGACATTGAGAAAGGGGGGAGGAACGGATAAGACAAGTCGAACTAGTCGTAAAGAATCACCACCGACATATTCGAAATGCTGTCACGTACAATATGGCACGACTTGTCGCAGCAGGTCAAGATAGAATTGGAACAGGAGTGGCAAAGAGAGACTGAACACCTCTCGGCAGATTCAATTCAATGCCGCCAGAAATCAGTGCTAAGTCGACCTCGGGGGTTGGCTTGAATGCCACTCAAAGCGAACCTGCCACATTCGCCATGGTCGTAGAGTCGGGAAAGTGGGTGTCACTGGGACACCACAAGAATTGTTGTACAAGATTGCGCCAGAAGGGAGGGCACTCGATGAGCATCAACTCGCTTGGTCCGTCTCTTCCGTTCAGCTCTCTATGGGTTTCCCAAATGTAGAATGGCCATAGTCTCTCCTTCACTTGAGCAGCTCCAAGTACTGCCGGGTATCTCTGCCGCCTCGCACCAACGGACTATTCTGAGGTTTTGCAAGTGGAACTTGTGGCCATTCACCTGTTGTACAAGGGGTCGCGGAGGACTTTCAATTTGCGAAGGGCGAAATTAAACTAGAACAGATCAACATAAGGTGGTGTCGCTGTCAATTGGGATGGTCCGCACCTGATCAACGCGGGCTTGGGTTCACTTCGTGTATATCCTATAGCAGTTAGACCTCACTCCAGTTGAAAGCGTCTGATGCCTCATACCCAGATACAATATTAAAGGAAGATATCCATAGTGTACAACCTCGCGGGTGATGTCGAGGATCTTCCCAATGCGCTCCTGGGGAAATATTGTCAAAAAGACGTTGCTTTCTTTTCCTTCAAGGGTCAACGGACCTTAGTCTCTTCGGAGAACTGAATCATCTTCATGGAGGGAAGAGGGTGGATTGACGTGCGGAAGACTATACAAGAAAAGGGTGTTCTGGCACGAGGTTCACTGCGGCTGTGAGCGAGATATGGAGCGCTTGATGGCAGATGCAAATGAAATACAGAATGAAGCTGCGGAACAATTTCGTGAGGCGAGCAGCAGCACGTGAGCTGCTGTCCAGACTAGTCTCGAAATAGTAACGCGCGCTTCAACAGCCTTTCAATTTCACAAACAATTTCGCCATCAAGGACACAAGTCATTTGAGAATTCTAACGACTTGTGCAACATCAAAGCGTTCTATACGTTCGCTAAGGCCGTGAGAGTACTCCTCAGCATCATGTCCGGCGCGAGGCACTGGGAGCAGGACAAGGACTCCACCATCTACATCGGCAACCTCGATGAGCGAGTCACAGATGCTCTGGTCTGGGAATTGTTTCTGCAAGCGGGCCGCATCGTAAATGTCCATCTACCAAAGGATCGGGTCACTCAATCCCATCAGGGCTATGGCTTTGTCGAATTCAATTCAGAGGAAGATGCAGAATATGCAGCCAGGGTCATGAACCAAGTCAGGCTTTATGGCAAGCCTATCCGTGTGAACAAAGCTAGTGCCGATAAGCAGAAGTCTGTCGAAGTGGGTGCAGAGTTGTTCATTGGCAATCTGGATCCGATGGTTGATGAAAGAATGCTCTACGACACATTTGGACGTTTTGGCACGTTGGTGGCGGCTCCAAAGGTACGCTCATTTCTGCTTCGGATGTCCTTGGAGTTTTACTGATGGCTGTTAGATTGCTCGGGATGAAAACAACCTGTCGAAAGGATATGGATTCGTCTCTTTCGCCAACTTTGAATCTTCGGATGATGCTATCGCCAATATGAACGGGCAATACCTCATGAACAAGGAGGTCTCAGTCCAATACGCCTATAAGAAGGATGGCAAAGGTGAAAGGCATGGCGACCAAGCCGAAAGAATGCTCGCTGCTCAAGCGAAAGCGCACGGTGTTCAACCCACTCCTGCCACGATTCCACTGGGCGGACCAGTATTTGGTGGCGTCCCGCAAACGCCTGTGCCCCCAGTGGGATTTGCACAACCAGGTGGTGGTTATCAAGCTGTCCCACCACCAGCACAAGCAAGGCCACCTCCTCCTCCCAGTACACCACTCACGGCTCCACCAAGCGGTCTTCCAGCGAGACCACCTCCGAGCCAGGCCGGATACGGAGGACCACAAGGATTCATGCCACCAGGTTTCAATCAGGTGCCTGCAGGCTTTCCACAGCCAAACGTTCTACCTGCTGGGTTTGCGCCTCCTCCAGGATTTGGGGGTCCACAAGCTGGTACCATACCTTCTGCGCCAGTCGTGCCGCCAGGAGGGTTTTCCGGATACGGCATCCGGAAGTAACCACGATGATATACCAAAGAACTGCAAGAACTATCGACAACGAGGCCCCCGGGCTCACGAAGGGGCCATGCCAGTCGCCAAGGTAGAGCTGGTGAGCGCTTTGAGCGCTTATCTCTCACTACAGCCCGAGAAATTCGGTACCTGCTCAGTACCTTCCAACTTTCTTCGTACCTCTCGCGAACCGCCGGCTGGACCCTCTTGTGGCAGCACTGAGCTATCTTATTCAAGAGAGCCCATTTTCGAATCACAATTGTCGCGGTCTCTGATGTCGACCATATCCATTCAAGACGGCGTCGTCCTGCCTCAAGACGCAAGCATCCACAGCTTGTGGACATGGGGAGACACTTTGATTCTGGTGGGAAGCTGGAGCCAGGAAATCCTCAAGTGCTAGCGCAGTCCAGGGACAGTGAGATGGCACATGTTATGAGACAACTGACGCCTGGCTAGGAAGCCAGCTTCATGGTGTCCGTTCAGGGTGTTTTGCAGTTGAGTGGCCACTGTGCCCTTGAACGACTTGATTTTAAGTCAAAACACATGGGACACAGATGGTGCTATCGGGAATAGGAGGTGGGGACTGGGGTTCTCGGAGGTTGAGAAGCACAAGTTCGTTGGTGGAGGTTGCAAGTCCGAGGAAGGCGGAGAGGATGTTTTGCAATCCAGTGAACTCCATGTACTGCGCATTCAGTGACTGCCTTCTGATGTGGCTACCATGGTGTTTGTGGATATCTGAATCAACGGAGTCACCACTGGACCACTATCATTGCCATCGTAAACGAAGGTATTGTCTCAGTGGCAGAGGGGGCGGCTTTATCATTGAGACGGTGTGCGTGGCATTCAGGCTCTTCTGTGAGAAAGAACGCATCTTATGACAAACGGGATCGAGGTTGCAAAGCAGGAACAAAAGACAGTTGCTCGAACAGCATACCATGGTTTCTGTGATGGTGGCAATTCTTCGCTTCTGGGTCCTACGCAGTCAATGGGCAGTTAACAGCCGCTTTGCCTGGACCGCCTTGTTGCAAGGCCAACAACCTCATTCACACGACAGCATGTTCCGGAATGTTTGGATCACTGCTCGTGATGTCGACACGCTCGCAGGGGCAGTGGAAGTAATTTAACAAAAGAAGCAGGCAAGAGATTTGGCACCAAAGGTTTTTTTCTTTTTTTGTTCTTCTTCTGTTCTCAACGTTTCCATCCCAGATCAACGACCCAACGACGGGCTTACAATCGTTTTGTACACGATCAACCAGTCATTATCCCCTTCTTTCTCTGGGCTGCCAACATGTACTCAGCACCATCTGGGCCACCACAAGCCCCCGATTTCCAGCAGCCTCGAGCAACAGATGACCAGCAGCCGATGGATATTGATGCGCCGTACAGTCAAGAGCAGGGACATGGAGGTGGTGCGCTCTCAACTGCCCTTGTGCCCTCCTCGAACAGAGATGCGCTCAGCCTCATATTGCCCGAGATTCTTAACCCATCCAGCACAAATACACCAGGTGTTGGTGAGCACACCCAGGACAGGATCGGTTGTTGTGAAGACAGGCTTGCTGACTTTAGGCGTAGAGCCAAATGGCCTGCAAGTGTCGACAACAGCCCGGTCCAAAACACCAAGCTCAATGGCAACCGCTACCCCGAGTATGATTTCTGAAGCTCCATGCGATGGTGAGCGCAAACTATGATTCCCGTCCATCGAGGCGCCTTGTATGCTGACCAATTTACTTTAGGCACTATTATGGTCAGACGAGGTGCAGTTCTTGCAAAAGCAGAGCCAGAGTCCGTTGGTGGTCAAGCGCCAGATCCGAACCCGAACAGCCCAGTGGGTTACTTTCCGCCGGTAACCCTGGGCATGAGCATATTGCCAGCCTCTCATCGACCAGCTAGCTCAAGTTCTCCCGCGGCGACGTACGCTGCCCGACCGGTGATTTCAACTATGGACCGAACAGCAGTTGGCACGCAGACACCAGTGTCCAACATGATCAAGGTGCCGACCACATGCTCCAGGACCGATGATACTGTGACCACGCAGATGGAAATTGACTCCGAGTCAGTTCGTGGACAGAGATGTGGGCAGGCTTGGCAGTCAAAGGAGTACCAGTTCGTTGATCTTACGGTTGACGATGACGGGGACGAGCCTATGGTTGGGACGACATTTCTCAGAATCAAAGGTAATGGAGGAACAGCGTCCAGCAGTCCAGCAGAGCCCTCGGTCCACGGTCCGCCCGTGACACAGGGCAGAGCAAACCAACAACCTGCTCGTCGCCGTTTTTCACCGTGGCCCGAAGTCATGGATGGTCGGAAGACGTTGTTGAAGAAGGCGGGCGTCCCAAAGGAGTCAAGAGCCCGACGTGGCGATGTCCCAAAGGTCATTCGAGAGGATGTAGCCTCCATGCGAGCTATCACCGCCGGAGACGAACGCGTCGCTGGACACGCCGGCCGGATCGAAGAGTTGGAGAAAGCGATACGCGCCACGGAGAGCGACCCTCGATATCACTACGTCGCCGAACTAGACCCTGCACAAGACTTTCAAGGCCTGGTGGTCAGATACCTGATCCGGCGGGGCGCTCTCTTGGAGGAATGGGGTCTCGAATTACAGGCTGAGAACAGACGGCTGATGCGCCAGACCGGAGAGATCAGAGAGTCAGAGCAGAGAGTCCACGTGCGCCCAATGAGCTCTGATCGCAGCGGCGGTGAGGACGACCGCTCAGAGCGAGCAGCAGTAGCAGCTCTAGTCAGCCAGATTCAGAGCCAGCGCGCAACAGCAGCAGGCCAGACGCGCGGGGCGCTGGGGAAGAGAAAGCGCACGGACGAGGAAGAAGACGAGGCCCTGCGGGTCAGACTTGCGAGATTGAGAGAGTGAGAGATCGACTTATTGACAGAGAGTCACTCAGGTCAAGCTGACGGAACACGGATCGAGGGCATGCTTACCTGGCTTGCTTGGATGTGCGGGCTGGAACATTGTTGAATGCTGTAATTCCATATCCGCCGAGACCGGAACTCTGCCAGCAGCGAGAACGAGGTATTTATTCTCTGCGGAACGCAAGCAACGTCTCCTTCTCCCTTGGAGAACGTGCCCACGATAGGCAACTGCTATTTAGGCTAGTGATTGCCCTGGTGGCGATGGCGATGGCGATGGGCGATGACAATAACACTGTGCCTGGTGAATGGTAATGACAACAATAGAAGCTCATGTGTGTGTGATATGTGATTATCATGTATGTCTCCCTCTCTCCACAATCGTTGCAAAACTGGGTGTGACAAAAATTGCGAAAATGGATCTGTAGTGTACAACTCTCCCTTCCGACAGTACCTCAGGCCAATCCTAGAAGCAATAGTACAAGGATGAGATGGCAGTGGGCTTGCCTTCTTGATTCCCTGCTTCATGATTGCACCTCAGAGGCTTTTCGACTCCCAGGATCTTCCCTGCAATCCGGCACCAGGATGCTCGCTGTGCCAGAAAAACGCCAGAGGAAACTGCATGTCCCAGCACAACTATTCAATCTCATCGGTCATGTCGGCTTCCCCATTCTCTCCAGTCCCTACCACCGCTCCAACGCCGTTCGTTCCGCCCTTGCTTTCATCAACCTTCATCTCCTCATCCTCCACAGGCTTTTCTTCTACCACTGGCACGGGCTTCGCCAACTCCTCCCTGACCCAACTCTCCTCCACAGCGTACTTCCGTTGAAACACCCTAGCCCATCGGCCTCCCCACGCCTTCAACAATTCCTCTTCTTCGGCACGTAACGCATCAGAGCTCTCCATCATTTCATCTTGATTTCCGTCCCTGATGCTTACAACGGCATCCTCGAGCAAGGCGAAAAGCGACTTCATGCCTTCGAGTTCACGAGTCAATGTTTGCTGGAGTTCTGACCTCTGTTCTTCTGAGAGGCCAGGCGAGCGAATTGCGGCCACAATGCTTCGAACCCGCCCCGAAACTTTGCGAGCTGTGTTGCTGACCAGTTCGTAGCACCAGGTGGTGGCGAGAAGGGTGCCGCGTGAGACATGGTCGATCAGAGCCCATTCAACAACGCTGTCAGGGGTCAAGATCTGGTAGTTGAGTAATTTGTCGACGAGTATAATTCCAACGCCACGTTGATCCCGCCAGTAGTCCACCACGGAGGTGATAATTTGTTTTCTGCACGCAGGGCTCGAAGCGCTTATTGCCAACAGACGTTCCTTGCACCGTTCAATGCAAGCCAAAGCATGAGACAGCGATTTAGATCCAATCCAACACATCGAAGTGACAAAGACATCTGTCGATGCAACGGAAGGGTCGGGCAAGCCTGAAGCGGCGGCTTCTTGCTCAACCTTCTCCAGAATTGGACCGAACTCCTCGCTGGTCGCTTTCCGTCGTATCATCTGAGCCACCTCTTTTCCCTCGGCAGCAAAGGGTGTTGATTCATCATCGTACTTGAAATCGGGCACGTCCTTTTCTTTGGCCTCCGAGATCAGGGCTTGGTAGGGTTCTGGTAACGTACCCTTGATGCGCTTCGAAAAGCTCAGTCGGATCTCTTTGTCCAAGGCATCAATAATGAAAGCTTTTCTTGGGTGTACGTCGGGCAGATTGACATCATCGACCCTAGAGAGTTAGGAGATCCGAGGCAGCGGCAGGGGTGAGCAACGTACCATTCAGTCCATTTCCACGTGAAACCAAAATTGCTGAGATGATGGGCGAACCAATCCAAGAAGCGTTGAGAGAGTTCCAGATCCATTTTATCCACGTTTCGGTACAAGAACCGAATCGCCCGCCCCAAACTAGGGGCAACAGCGGCAGGAGCGAGCTTGCATGCTTCAGTCAGCACCGAGTGATAGTACACCAACTTATGCTCGGGAGCAGGCAACTGCAGCAGTTGAGAAAATGCCGCATCTACCACAACATCCTCAGGTTTCCAGGTTGCTTTGTCCCCAGCGACCTCCCGCAATTTGTCGAATGGCGTGGCTCTCTTCACAAAAGTATCTGGAGCAAAGTAACAATCGACGTCGATCAGAAATTTGGCGGCTACCGCTCGATTGAAATCAAGGACGTTGATCGTATCGGAAAGGGCGTCTCGAATCAGTAGCGCAGCGGGATCAGACACAGGAGGGACCGTCTCGATATCTTGTTCACCGTAGACAGAGAAGTAAATCTCCGGGAAAAGTGGTCGAGGGCCGTTGTTAACGGTCTCCGGGACTGTCACACTGGGAAACTGATGTTTTTGTGCCCCAGCCAATGGATCCTCCTCTTCTGGCGAGCGTTTGCCTTTCCATGGGCGAGGTAGACAGGCCAATTCCCAAGAATTCTTGGCTTCGTCTTGCATGTGTTTTTGGAGGAGCGCAAGTGCGCTTTCTGAACCAGCAGGTGCCCCGACTTCGCGGCTCGGAAATGGATCTACCATCGACTCCAGAGGATGTGCAGTTGAAGCAATGATATCCGTCTTCTCTAGCAGAGCGACCGCTTGAGTCTCGAAGCCCGTTGCTGAGGATGCCATGGCGTAGGGAAGCGTCATTAAGATGACTTTGACGAGCTCGAGACCTAAAGACTGTTGCAGGATTAGTGCAAAAATCAGAGAAAGCACCATGCGGGAACATACGTCTTCGGACGACTTCATTTGTAAGTCAGCTGCGCGGGAGAAGAGCTCTTCAAGCAATGGAAAGATGCCATCTCCCTCGAAAATGCCCTGAAGGCAACCTAGAAGCCGCAGGTATAGTTTAACTTCTCGCCAGGCCCCAATGCTCAGCTGCTTTTGCAGGGCTTCTCCGACTTTAACCAGGACTTCGGATGTAAATTCAGGTTTCTGGACATTTGCGACAAGCAGAATGGCCGCAACGAAGGGAATCTTGAGCGGTTGTTCGATGGGGCTACACGCGTTAGTCGGATTGCATATGAAAGAGGCTGGAAGGAGGCTTACAGCTGCACGACGAGATCTAAGAAACCCGAAGTGAGATCGGTATCAAAGTAGTTCTCTGCCAGAGTCTTTGCGATGATTGCGACTTCGTCTTCAGCTCTTCGAACAGGCTACCAGTGCGTCAGCCGTGTGATTGAACACTTCAGCAGCATGTCGGGCTTACACTTTCTGCGATGGACAAGACTTGTTTGCGTAGCGTCAGTGCGAGCGGCTCCTCGTAGCGACGGCGCTGTGGACGGCGATCTTCGTAGTCATCCTCTGCAAAATCATCAGTATGGAATGCTCATCAGAGACTTCTCAGGTAAACCACCTCTGTATCTTCTTTTCCGGTTGTTGAAGTGGCCTCCTCCTCCTCCTCCACCGCCGCCGCTGCCGCCCCCCCTTCGTCGCCGGTCATAATCTGCCATGATGTGGGTTGATCGCACACTGAGCCAAGGGAGAAGGTGGTTGCGAGGGTCTGATGCTTTAGGATCGCAAGGGAGAGTGAGCGAGAAAAGTGTATGGGAGACGCGTTGGAGACAAGGTGAAACTTCACTCAGTCGCGCAGTTGGACCATCGAGGGCTTGGCAATTTCTCCGCACTCCCAAACGAGGCGTGAGAGGCTGTCTGGCCTACATGAATACGAAGTAGCCTGAGCTTGCTGATTGATGGTTCCAATGGATGTAACGGGCAGAGCACAATTTCTATCTTTTGGGGAAAAATTACACACTGGCGTAAGGACCAAAAGTAGCCCTCGAGTTGCTGTGGTCCAATCCTTCGAGAAGGCCTTGCCTCCCCTTCTTCCATGAAGTGTACGCGGACGCAGGAGCAATATACGCACGCACAGCTTGCACGCTTCCTGTTGCATATTCTGAGCACAATAGCCAGCTGCCAAAGTCGTGTGAGCCTCCCGGCCCTTCATTTCAACCCGCCCAGTTCATTTCGTAAGCTCAGACATGATGGACCTTATGGCAGAGCACACTTTCCCAGCCAGACCAGAGGAGGTCCAAAATCTTTTTGTGAAACGCTCAGCTCATACTCATCCCTTGTTTCGGGGTCGTCAACGAGCGAACCGCCAGCCCAGCCCATTTTGCTGACCTGCATGCAAAAGCCGTTGCTTTATCGTGAGATACCTTTGCTCCCGATGCTAAGATATCCATCTGGACACATGATGACTGGAATGCTACCTGTAGGAGTTTCTCGGCGCATGTTGGCGTAGTCGCCAAACGAAACATGCATGCATGATGGACATATCAACGCACATATCCTCCTCGGCGTCACGTCGTTACAAATTTGGCAGTGCCTCGATTCAGTCAAGTCGTGCCATCATCTCGTCCTTTGTCATTGGAGTGAAGTTATCCAAATCTAGCCCTCGAGATGCTAGAAGGGCTCGCGCATGCGGTGGGACAAGCTTGCTATTGAGGTGCGGTGCAATCGAAAGCTCTGTGGGCCTGGTTAGTCACAGGTAATCACGTCGAGCAAAAATCATGCATAGGATACGAACCGTGTCGAGAAAAATCAAAGAGTGGTGGAAGCTCGCGCGAAGCACCACCAGCATGGCGTGAATCGGGAAGGCGGGTGTTTGGATCTCGCAATTCGTCAAAGAATGGTTGGCACATGGCATCAATGGCGGACAATCGCTGAGTTGGCGTGTACTCCAAAAGTGCCGAAATCAAGTCGATCGCGTCGGGAGATGCTTTCCGGAAGACTTTGTTGAAAGGATGAGGCTTGATCTGAGGGAACTTGTGCTCCATGTAATTCGGATTCATGGTGCGAATCTGATCTCTGGTAGGCGTGCCCAGGACTTTGATGATCTCGACCAGTTGGTCGATGCCTGACTCGCCAGGGAATAGAGGTTGACCCAGCATCAACTCTGCCATGACGCACCCAGTGGACCAGACATCTGCCTTTTATCAGTATGCGTCTTTTACGAGTTCACAGCTATCGCCAATGTGTACGCACCAATCTTGGTTGTGTAGTTTGTGGCGCCGAAAATCAACTCAGGGGCGCGGTAATATCGAGAGCAAATGTACGAGACATTTGGCTCTTTTTCCACCAAGATCTTTGCACTCCCAAAATCGCACAGCTTGAGCACTCCGGTTGCCGGATCGAGCAAAAGGTTCTGCGGCTTGATGTCTCGGTGGCATATTCCTTGAGAATGAATGTAGGCCAGCGAGCGGAACAGCTGGTAGATGTAGAGTTTGACTTCCAAGATAGGCATTGTGGTCTTCATCTTGTTGAAGTATCGAGAAGCTCTGTAAACCGTCTCTGGCACGTACTCGAGGACCAAGTTGAGGTAGACTTCGTCCTTCTGTTACCAAGACTTCGATTAGAATTGCAGTCGGGTGTCAAGTGGAGATGTGGGAGAAACTCATACCCGTTCACCGTTCGAATAGTAAAATGCCTTCAATTCGACGATATTAGGGTGTCGGACGATCCGCATTATCTGCAGCTCTCGATTCTTGCTACTGTTAGCATTTGGACAAAAGGTAGGAGCAGCCAGAAATCGTGAATGTCTTACTTTGAACCGTTTGTCTTGGAGTACCCGCTTGATCGCAGCATCCTCTCCGCTGGGCGACAACTTCGTCTGGAAGACTACACCAAACGAACCATTGCCAACAATCTTGCACTGGGTATACTGCATCTCCCTTGTTTCACCGGTGAGGCCATCCTGCACCTTTTCACGCACTACTTCTGAAGGAATGTGTCAGCGCACGTGCTCCGAGAAGGTTGCTACTCTCGTGATTTTGTCAAGTAACACAAGAAGACATACCACCCATGCGCAAGCCAGAGAAAACTCCACCAGGCCTTGCTTGTGACATAGTAGAGCACTAAGGCTGTCTGGAATCCACTTTGGCGACAGTGTCGGGCAAGGAGAAGGACAGCAGGTCAGTCCTACCAGAGAGGCGCGAAGAGGGAGCGGCGTAGAGAAAAGGAGCGAGAACAAAAGGAACGTCGGGGCAACGCGTGGATTCGAAGTAGGTCGGAATGTCAACGACCACGAGGGCAAACGTTGTCGAGTCTCGGGAGGAGGTGGTGGTCGAGGAGGATGAAGACGAGGGACAGGTATGCGATGGCAGGTGAGGAGGAGGGAGGGTTGGGTTGGGTTTGGCAGACGAAGCGCTAATTTCCCCACTTTGCGTAGTAGGTGAGGCTTTCGAAATGAGGTGTGGAAACTCGCGCCGCTATGATGAAACCGGGGTTGCTGGAGACGTTGATTAGACGGGTTGATCAGTAGAGGGCGGAGATGGAGGGAAATGTATCGTGGGATATCGAAGGAAAGGGGAGCACCAACGCTGCAGAGAGTTGAGCGTACGGACGGCGGGTTAAGGATGGCAAAATAGGACGTCTTCTGAGGAAAATAGCTGGGTTGAAGGGGACAAAAAGGATGATTCTAGGTGAAGACGGGAAATCAAGTAGGAGGGAGAAGAAGAGGTTGGATTGAGGGCGTTGAGATCAGAGAACTTTTGCACTTTTAGCAGTTGGCGATGTCAGTTTCGGGTCAGCCAGAGATGAGGTCGAGGAGAGGAGGAAAGTGCAGCGCAGGAGAACCAGGAATCACCAGAATAATAATAAGAATCCGTTAACTGGTTAAGTTCAAGTTCACCAGTGGTTCACAGGTCAGGTCGCCCTGTAGCAGTTGGGATTATTACTTGGGGCAGCTTAGCGCATCTAACTTAAGTGCTGCAGGTGCCGCGTGAGTTTAGATGCAGGCGCAGCGCAGCGTAGCCTGTGGGAGGCTGTAGGGGTCCTTAACAAAGACTCCAGAGACCTAGAGGGCCACTGAGGGCCACTGAGAGCGAGAGGGGCAGGGCAAGCAACAGAGAACTTGAAGAGGGGGGCCAATTATTCATCCAACCCTCCGCCAGTAACTCCTCCTTCCCTTGATTGATGCATGCATGCATCACCACTGGCATGCTGAACTGCGCTGTCAACCATCCTCGTCAAATTAAGGACTCCTTTTCCTGGCTGCTAGATATTGAGTAACCTTGGCTCAACTCGTTTCAGATGATAAGATCAAAGAAAACAGTCCCCAGATCACGGCGTCCATTATTCGCAAAGAACTTTTTTCCCGTCACATGTCCGATGATGCTGACCACGAGGGTCCCCTACCCTCTTTCCACCTTTTTCCTTGGCCACGGTCACTGGTTCGGCACCCGGAGGGGTTGTGAAGGGGTCATGTTTGGACGGGTCTCGAAACTGCCTGGAGAAGCAGCATGGCCAGTGGGAACAAGAGCACGACAGACCAGACGCGCTGAGGTTGGGAGCAAATAGGCGAAGACCCAGAGCGGGCATCACAACCCAGAAAAAGCCATTGACAATCAATAAAGGCATGAAGAAAAAAGTGGTCGAAGGTCAGATGATGCCTTGTCAAAGGCCCTGCCGCTGGGCTATACTGCATCATGTCTCCATTACGCTGGGCTCCATGGGCTCCAAGGGCCCCATCTCCGTTTAAACCTCGACATGCCAACTGGGGGCCCATTCACCTTGCACAAATCGCCTGTTAGGCTCGCCCGCAAAGGATCCAGATCCACTCTGCTCCCCCCGGGCTGCCGTCGACTTGCCCCTCCAGCTAAGCTCCAAGTATTATTGCAAACAAGCCACCGGGGCCCTGGACCTGAGGGCCAGCATCGACCAGCCAGATCTCACCTTATACGGCTCTCACGACTATGAAGGACTTTTCTTGACCATGACAAGTGCTCTCAGTAGGTACCCATCCTCAAACAACTAATGACTTGCCCAGGGAAGTTGGGCCAAAAACAACGCCCCCTCCCTTCCTCTCCCTCCACGTGCTCCTAAAAGCTGTTTGATCACTCCCCGGCGAGACGGCCAATGAATCACCGTTCTCGCTTGTTGATCCATGACTATGTTGGTCTCACCACCCGCTCTCGCCGGCGCCTGGTCTGCTTGCGGCCCAGAATCTCTCTACGGGTATTCAGAGTGACACAGCATATTTCTCCATGCTTGTTGGGGATTACCGCACCCTGCATCAAACGCACGATCCAAGGTCACGGACTCACGGCTCTTCTTGCCCATCCTGCCAGATTCCGCCAATTAACCACCTGCAATTCACCACAAAGGAGCTTGAGGGGTCCCGAGTGCGAGTATGATGCTAGACAGAGTGGCAAGCATGGCACGGGGCCGGCAATCTACCAGTCTTGCGGCCAACATGGGTGCAACGGCTCGCACTCGACAAACCTGTCCGCTGTAGCATGGTTGATCCCAGGCCAAGGCACTAATTTGCTGCATACACACAAGCAAAACGTCATTCAGCATACGCTTAGAGATTCCGGAACTTTAAAAAAAGGGTCCTGCGTACGAGTGCAATGTTCGAGCCAGCAAGCGAGACTCGAACAGAGCTGTCACCCATGGAGACAGGAGCCATGACCACCACCTTTGACTTCAGGGGAAGGAAAATTGTTCCTTG